CAGTGGCCCATAAACAAAGCTCAAGTGGAAGGTGTGCGTTTTATGTGCAGAATACAATAAATGAAACCTGCATTGTGAGGGAAGCCGATCAATGTCCAAGTTGGGTCCAGGTCATTTTAAATGATAAATTGTGCAATAAATACAAGCAATCAATTTGTTGGTTTTGCTTTGCGATGTGAAGCGCTTAGTATGTTTATGTATGCCTATATATAAAATTTATATTGAATATAATTTGATTGAATTTGGAGTATGAAAAATCATACTTTCATACAAATGTGTCGTCTTGAGGCTGAGAAAGACACTTGCACAAAAGTAATGTTTAGGTTAGGTTAAACTGGTTGACCCTTCAAGTCTCAGCTAGACGTTACCCCATCCAGAGTGTTACCAGATTTACTAAATCCAAGTAGTCCTAAGTCCAACGCCTTTTCCGCTCGTCAAAAATTTGTGAGTTTAGCTTCAAATATTTCGAATACAATTATCTGCGACACTTTGCCAAGTTCCAAAGCCTATTCGTCTGATGAAAAAAGATTACTCCTTGCGCCTGCCAGACTTCCCAGAGAGACACAGGTAAAATCATAATTTTGTCCTTATCTGGAAGCACACCCTCCTTAGTAAGCTCATCACTTAACCCATTGCCTTCCGTTCTTGGTTTGGTTACAACAAGTAACACGTTGAAGAGTCACGTTCTCTCAAACATCAAACGCAGTTCGTTTACACAGACCCACCACGGCAGCATTAAAATCGATGAAGAGGTGAGGTGTGTCGATACTTTCTTCACTGAACTACTTTCAGATTTTGCGAATTGTAATAATCCCTGAGTAGTAAGCTGGCATGAGGTGAAAACTCCTCATAGGAATTTGTCACCGCCCGGACGCGGTTTGGAATATATATATTCAATACGGTACGGAGGAGCTCTCCACCAATTTGAGTTGTGTGTCTCGATCTGTTTCCAGGAAGTGCAGGAAACTACCACTTAGCGAGCCGAATGCGAAAGAAAAGCAAATATTGTATTTATTTGATCCAGCCTAGTGCCTACATAACTAAATTGTTGCGCTGTAAGACCGCTTGCAGTGGACGTTGTTGCCTTACTCGTATTAAGACGTCTGAGGCGTTGCTGGATGAAGTTTGCTGCACAAAGCAAAAAGTCTGTAAGCTTGTAAATGCACGCATGTTGTTGCAACACTTCACGCACTGCGGAAGAAGAGGATTTCCGCTTGTATGACTCACTGACTCAACACCGCACACAATAACATCGTTGGCAAACAGCAAACAGCAAACAGCAAACAGTAAACAGTGAACAGCAGGCAAACACGCATGAAGCATGCATTTAGGCGCGTTACTGGGTCAAGACGTTCGCGCTGGCTGGTGTTTGTGGCTGACTCGCCTCCGGGCACAGCGTGGAAACAAATGCATTTACACTTATACTATTTAAACGCATAGACGCCTAAAGGCCTGAGCAAGCATACAAATTTGCTGTTATTTACCAACTAAATATGTAAAACGCAAGCGCAGGCGAATGAGCTGCATTAAATCAGCAAAATATAATAAAATATAAATATTTCGATACGCACACTCTATGCATATAAATACAATTATGTTGCGGTGTATGTGTAGGCGTGTCGAGAATTCATGCAAATTTCATATTTGCACAACAACGCGAGTGCATTTAGTTCTAGAAAAGTGCACAATCAGGCAATTCATGCATGTCGCATTTACTCGTGCAATATGTGTAGTATGCAGATATACATATGTATTGTATTTATATGGCAGAGTCAGCAATTTGGAAAACCATGGTTTGAGTCCTGGTTCGACCAACATCCCAAAATTGTAAGTATTAATTTTTCCAAATGCTTTCACCCTTCGGCAGGGAATGTAAAGCTATCCGACTGTGTTCCCGACACGAAGCTCCGAAGCTCCTCTTAGAAACCCTTCGGCCGTTCGCAGGTTCGCAGGTGGCTCGGAATAAGGAGGAGAAGCGCGGCCGAAAATCGCTTAAGCGGGTACAAAGTTCGAAATGTAATATTAATACGTATATGTATATATGCATATATATATATATACATTGTAAATGTAATCATCATTATTGGCAAATATTGCTAACGGAATTGAAATGGTATGCCATTATCGGTCATATTTTGTTGTCAATTTTATAGCCATAAATGCCACTCACGTACACATATTTCGACTAAATGCTTATTTGTTTTAAGCACATGCTTTTATTATCCCACAAGTATAGATATATCTCTATGCACATATTTACCATTTCAGGATCCATTCAATTGAAAAGTTTTACATATACATTGATACACATCTGTGCATTTGTAAAGGCAAGAATTCCTTTAGTTCCATTAAATTAGTGCTTCATATGTGTAAACATCTTTGAGGTGCTGTCGGCTATGAATAAAGAAACTTTTGCACCAAAATTAAACTTGGTTCGAGATAATCAAACCGAACTATAAATATGATGTATACACGAAAAAGATAAAACAAATATTTGTTTTTCTTCCTACTAATCTAAGCAAAAAACCACGTACATGTGCTGGACTATCAGGTAAATTCCGCTATAAGTAAAACTTTTCGAATAGTTCAGTCCCTGGTACACATCCATGGATCGCTGAAAACAAACATGCAAACAAACAATTTTATATGATGTACATATGTATGGAGGGAAGAAGATTAAACCAAAATAATAGTGGCCGTATAAAGTAGACAAAAGTAGGCAAAAAATTTACTTTACTTTTTATTTTGGTAAAGAATTATTCTTACTTACTTACTTTACTAGCGCAGACACCGCTTACGCGATTATGGCCGATTTAACAACATTACGTCATTCGTTTCTTCTTTTTGCTGTGTGGCGCCAATTAGAAATACCAAGTACAAGCCAAAACCATCTCTACCTGGTCTTTCCAACGGAGTGAAGGTCTTCCCTTTCCTCCGCTTCCACCGGCGGGTACTGCATCGAAAACTTCAAAAGCTGAAGTACTCGCATCCATCTGGACCACATGACCTAGCCAGCGCAGCCGATGCTTCTTGATTCGCTGAACTATATCAATTTCGCCGTATAACTCGTACAGCTCATCGTTCCATCGTCTGCGATATTCGTCGTTCCCAATGCGCAAAGGACTACAAATCTTACGCAAAACCTTTCTCTCGAAAACTGCTAATGCCGACTCATCAGACGTTGTCATCATCCATGCTACCGCACCATATAGCAGGACGGGAGTCCAAAGTAGCACCTGTTGGTAAGACTGATTCTGCGTTCGATTTCAAAGCTGACGTTGTCACTGGTATTGATACTGGTTCCAAGATAGACGAAGTTATCTACGACTTCAAAATTATGACTGTCAACAGTGACGTGGGAAATGCGATGACTGTTTGTTTGATGACAGGAGATATTTCGTCTTGTCCTCGTTCACTACCAGACCCATTCACCTCACTTCTTTATCAAGCCTGGAGAACGCAGACCTAACGGTCAATATCATTGGCCTACGCCAGTAGTTGTACACTTTTATAGAAGATTGTACCTTCTCTATTTAGCTCTGCAGCTCTTATTATTCTCTTCAGCATCAATTTGAAGAACACACACGGCAAAGAGTCACCCTGTCTGAAGCCTCGCTTGGTACCGAACGGCTAGGAGAGGTCCTTTCCAATTCTGATTGCGCTTCTGGTGTTGTCTAGCGTTAGCTTACACAGCCGTATAAGTTTTGCGGCGATATCAAATTCAGACATAGCGGCGTAAAGAGAGCTCCTTTTCATGCTGTCGAAGGCTGGTCTCAAATCGACGAGGAGGTGGTGAGTGTGGTATTTTCCAAGATTTGACGCATGGTGAATATCTGGTCAATGGTTGACTTACCAGGTCTGAAACGAAGCCGGCGATTGCTATTCGAACTTCTTCTTGGTCAGGTAATGGAACGTATTTTCTAACGTCATCGATTGGGGGTTCGGGTTCACCATCTCCGTATTCTCCATTTTCCTTACTATTCAGCAGGTTGGAGAAGTGTTCCCTCCATAAATTCAATATACTCTCGGCGTCGGGGGCTAGATCACCTCTATGTGTCCTACAAGAGTCTCGCCGTATATCTCGTGCTGCTCATCAATCCATTGTCTGCGGTATGTACCTTAAGCAAATCTTTTCTTTCAAAAACTCCTAACGCCCACTCATCAGACGTTGTTATCGCTGGTGATGGTGTTGTAGAATTTGGTATTTATTCGTTGAGAGGGGACATTGCAATAACAAATTTTACTGTCAACAGTGACGTGGAATGTGATAACTGTTTGTTTGATGACAGGAGATATTTCGTCTTGCTGTCTTTCATTATCAGACCTATAAGCTCTGCTTCTATACGGGGTGTGGGAAGAGCGGAAATTAGCGGCGCTGTGCTGGAATCTGGCACTACATACAACCATACTTCGGCCCCGGCGAAGTCGATCAGCCGCTTAACAAAATCTTGGTTTTCATGACCCGAAAATAAATGCATTTAGATAGGTCCATTCAAAAGAAGAGCTGAAACTCCTAATTCTCCTATTAAAATTTCATTACATATATTCTACTTATAAGTATTTCAATTGGTGTCAATTAAATCTCCAAAAGCAAAAAAAATGGTGCTGATAGTTTAAACTCTAAATAGCAAGGACATTCACCATATTAAATGCCCAAACCAATTACTTAGCAATTACAACCACCACTTGGCGCCACCTGTGCGTGATTTTTTTTCGTTTCGTGAAAACAAGGGTTAATATGCAACCCCCAAATCCAAAGAAACTACAAAATATATTAACCAATGAGGCTTTTGAAAACTGTTGCCCAAACGAAAATGGCTGCCACAATATGTTGCACCAAACATTTTCACAGTTACTGATGCACGAATTTATGGGGTTGTGGAATTTCGCATAATATATAGAAGGACTGCAACGTTTTGCTGCATTCCAACTCTAACTTCCAACTAGAACTGTGCGGCTTAATTAAAGTGTCTGATAAGAAAAAAAAAGTTTCCAAAAGATACCAGATTACCCGAGGTAGCGGGAAGTAAATTTAATTTTAATTAGTGTGGAAAATTTACTGAAATCGTGGAGTTATATAGGATGCAGCATCATCCCGATCCGACATATATGCCGGAAGTGCCCTTCCAGCCTTTGTGGGGCCAGGAGGCGCCGCCTCCCCCACCAATTGTACCATATCAGGAATTGATCACTGGCTTTCCATGCACCGACTTAGGTGAGCGATGGAAAATTAAAAAATAATTAAAAATGGTGAAATATTATTTATAGTCTTAAATGTGAATAATGAAGTATGAGTATTATGCACTATACATATATACATACATATTATATATATAAACGCGAAAAAATAAAGAAATAAATTTTTAAATTTTTTTTTCATTTATGTGAACTTCACAGCTCTTTGGCAACGCTCGCAGGTAAGCAGTTTGGTTAGCAACCAGCGCTCGTCGAATAATCGCAATAACCACCATTCAGAATCGACCAATGGAACATCAACCAAGAAGACCCGGCGACGAGTGGCATCAATGGCGCAGCGCCGAGCAGCCAACATCCGCGAACGCCGACGGATGTTCAATCTCAATGAAGCATTTGACAAATTGCGCCGCAAAGTACCAACGTTCGCCTACGAGAAAAGGCTCTCACGCATCGAGACTCTACGCCTAGCGATAACCTACATAGGCTTCATGACCGAACTCTTAACTGGCGCCCCAATGCCCACACATAAGGCACGCTCGGCCGATATTTATACGGGCATGAATGGACATCATCATCCGGGCGCTATGGGACACCACCACCTACACCCGGCGGCATTCCAAAGAGACTTTGTGTCGCCATATAGTCATAGTTTGAGCTAAGCTGCCAAAGCAAAAAGCTTAACTCTAAGTGTAAGCGAAAGGCGGAGCTAGTTTTAGTTTTGTTGGTAAATGTGTAATTTTTGTTTGAAATAAACTTGGACAATAATGCAAGCCTTGTGTATATTAGAACAATAACTTCATATGGTTGAAAATGTGGCACTAAAATTGCAGTGATGAATTTGTGTTTGGAAAAGTCAAAATTAATTAGAGAATCTCTTCTCGAGACCTTTAATCAAATAATTACGAATTGGAGGATCGTAAAAAATTATTTTCTTGTTATTTTAATCAAACATCTTAAGTTCAGTAAAATGAAATCTCCTCTATTTATATTTTTCTATTTTTAAAAATTATTAGAGTTTTCGCTAACACGTTTGAGATTAGCCACCGCCACTCCACCGATGTGTTTGAAAAAATTGTATTTATGGTTCGATTTAACTGTAACTGCCTGTACAGGTAGCTTTTTGTCAAGGTTGGTAAGAACACTATTATTTTCATTGGGGAATGAACCAGGGACGAACATATTTCAAAAGTTGATATATGGCTTTTCTACTGAATATTGTTTCCAGTGTTTCGTTTTGGGCAATTTTTAGGTGATATGCCTAAATGGAATACTTTTGTTTCCTGGGAATGAGCCGAGAAGCAGGAACCAAGTTCAATATAAATAATACTTTCTCTACGTGAAAAGGGTCACAGACGGATTGTTAAAAATGAATATGACTTGGATGTAAGTGTAGATTGTGAGTAAGTATGTTCGATATGTTAGCATCAACACCACTTTTGTAGAACGATTGGAATGGGAGCACTTTTTGAGGTCTGCGAACAGCCAATTGTCGCTGGGTGGCAAATCTAGAGAGCACAGTGGATGTGGGAGCAATTCGAAGTGCAATTCATATAGTTTTTCCATTGTTTTGATTTACTTGTAATACGGTGGTTGTTTATTTGTAACCCAGGCACTGCCAGATGAGAGGTCTGTCGGCTTTGTATTAGTTGTAAGGTATATGTCCACGGCTGCCAAAGGCTCCAATAATCCTATACAATATTCACAGTAGATAGCAATTGCCCCCCCAATATAGTGCTCTCAGGCGCTTGTACGAAATTTACCTCAGTAGTAGTAGTAAGCCAAGAACTACTCCATGGGGGACGCCTACCGAAATCATATCTACCTCGAAATCCGCAGCTTAGAACTGTTTAATACGATTTCTACATCTACCCTATCTATGAGAAAATATTTTTTTTACCAGCGCGGTACCTTTCAACTGCTTTTGCTGCTACAGTTATTTCAAAAAAGACTGTTATGAATTTAGATTTTCAAAAGCCAAACTGAAGCGGGAAAGGTGAAAATATTTGTCCTTGATTTTTTTTTTTCATTCCACACCTTTTTTATATATGCGTATGTAAATCGCTGGCTGAGATCATTTACAAACATAAAGACAGAAATGCAAAGACATATCAGGAACGAGAAAAAAATAATTTTTGTTTTTTAACTAGTACCTAATAGACCAAAATGTACCTGATAATCCTGCAGCGTAATTATCTTTGATAAAAAAATCCGTATTATACACTTGTTGGTAAACAATGCAACCTAACCACAAACAATAAAAAGTCAGGATCATGTGAATCTATGCACCTGACTCAAGGACATTACATTTCCCCCTTAAGCAACAAGGAGTGGCATTGTTAGCAAAGCGTAAAATTATTATAATTAAATTAAACAGAACAGATTGTATAATATTCGCGCCAGAGGGTGAGTATGTATGTATGTTTGCATGAGGGATGCGCTGCAGCCCAACCCTCTACATATTTATCATACAGGCGCCCGATGTCTAATGAAGTGAAACCAAGTCAAGGCTTCAGCTAATATTGTGCATACTTGCATATGTATGATACATATATTCCCTCTAGCAAATTTGGCAAGGCATTACCTTTTGGAAGTGAATAGGTAATGCAGATCGATTCTCAACGTGTATGGTTGTTGTTGCTGGAAACCCAATACGACACGTTCGGGCAGGCGTATGGTGATCGTTTAGGTTTCAGTTGAGTTTTCTCATTTGAGCGGACAAAAACTAGAAATTTCCCGATGATACAATTTGAAAAAGTGATTTTTTGTAAAATGCCAATACTTAAAATATTTCCCTCTACTTCCTCAGAAATTTCTATTCATAATTCTATGAAAGTGAATAATAGCATAAATTGTTGCGTTAAAACGAAGAAAGAAATCATAAAGGAATAATAATAAAGGAATTTTTATTCTCTAACCTGAGATAAAATTAGCTGGAATGTCTTTTTACTTACCTTGTATAAGTAAATGATCAAAAATTTCCGAACATATTCTGTGAGCAATCGGTTCTGACGTGTCTTGATGTGGAACGAAAAAAATATTTTTTCATTTCCTTAATACATTCCTCTGGAAGGCAGATGGGAATATGTATAAACATTGAGAATCTAGATCTCCGAAAGAAATAGTAAGTAAAAAATGTACATAACCGGTGTCCAAGCCAATTAAATAGAAAGCGGAATCGCATTAAAACCTTTTTCTCGAGATGAGCGACCTTTTTGGTTGGTAAGTACACAAACCCACATGGACACCCTTACTCGAAACAATACTTTGAAAGAAAATAAAGAGGCTTTTCATTCTCTATGATATTACCATGTCAATTTTCAGCGATCGATTCAGGGAGCGAAGACACAGTCTCCACTTAGCCTCTTCGCTTCCAAGGCCTTACCATTTGCTACTGGGTTGTTAAATATATGTATGGTACTTATAACAACACCGATGACGTAGAGATTCCCAGTGAAATTGTTTCTTTAATGACAACTTGAGAAGCATTCTAGATTATATTACATAAACTTTTCCAATCGTGGACTTCTGTGTCATAAAATAGCTCGGAAATGGCAAGTTACGTGTAGGCGTCGGCCTTTGTCCATCGAAAGGGGGCGAGCTTAGTCCGAAGTATCACCTGTTGACAATAGTGATATGCGTTTCAGTTTTACCCAGTATAAGCTTTTCTTTTTTGTTAATATTATTAAGAAGTTTCGAAATCATCACGCTGGATCCTAATTCTGCTGCTGTTGAGGATCTCTATTATCTATTCCACTGCATTTCTGTTGTAGAAATTCAACTTTAGAACTCAGAGTTTATCAAATGTTGAACAATTAAAAGATTTGAAAAAAGTGCAATATGTTTTTAATTTTATCCAAATCATATCCGGGCTTACAAAACAAGTGAGCTACAAATGCTCCACAGCTATTTATGCTCTCAATTATAACGGGGTTGTTTTGTAACATTTGTTACACAATTCCATTTATTATTAAAGTGAATGCGACATAGGGCGTGCAATATGTTTTGTGGAATTAGTGACACTTCATGCCACATAAATATGCGTGTCCTTAGGATGGATGGACCAATACATCCGAGTAGTTAGAAGGGGTGACAGTTAAGGACCTTAAGTAGAGCAACAGTGCTTTGGCGCGGCAAACGGTAAGTGAGCGATGCGCGCACATACGTCCTCGGCAAGCCAATTAGGAAGGGTGGATTGTGGAAGGGAAGTGCATATTTTTTTGCTCGTGTGCTATCGTGATTGAAGGACATTCACGTGTCACCGATTAGCACGTGGAAGAAAACATGACTTTTGATAGTCTTATTAAAATACGGCCGAACATAATAACATATAATCCAGTGTTGGAGATCTCCGAGAAAGACAACGTTTTGTTTAACGGAATCTCAAGCAGTGAAGAGTGTTGAGTAAAATTTAAATTGAAAGCGAAGTTTTTTCTGAGTTGCGCTACGGCATGGCTTCGTAAATATTCAATAAGAAGCATATTACTCTCCAATAAATAGAACAAGAAACTGTCTAAAAATGTTTCACTTTCACTACGCATGTGTTTACTGTGCTCTCCTGCCATAGCAAATTAATCCCATTAGAATTATGATCGCCTTAAAACTAAGCAGATTCCCTGACATCCCTTAACATATCAATAGAAACTGCAATTTTGCGCAAATTTTATTAGATTTTTCGTCAAAAAGGGGCAAAAATGAAAAAAGGACAGAAAATCAAATACTTAATGAAAGCAAAGTGATGAATTACTGTAGTTTTTGACACTCAGAGCTGCATTCACTAACACTTCGGCATCTTTTTGTATGATAAGAAAACTTGGGATTTCTTTTAGTGCAAAAAGTAGACTATGCATGTAGGGTTACCTCTCATAACCGCCAACTACTATTGACCTTTGAAGTTACAGGAGGTGTAGACGTTGCTGCCATCCCATTTCATCCACTTTAATGTGGTGCTCATATCTGACGTATTTTCTATGGCGTGCACCACGCACCGATTGTGGTTTGTCTTGCGACTTTAAGAAACTTAGCTCGGGACTTTCGAAAAGATTCGACATGTATAAAATTCTACCTTTCACGAAAATGCACACCTATCTGATCAATATGTCGAGCTGAGTTAACCTAGCCATATCTGCTCTGCTTAACTAACTGCTGCAGAGTTTTTCTGCCCTTCGGCACAGTTTATGAGCTTCTAAACCCCGCGAATTAATTTCCTCTATTAAAAACTTCGGCTTGAAAATTGCTTGAAGAAAGCTTAAAAGCTGGAACCCATTCGCATATTGTTATATACTATCGACCATCAATTTTTCACTTCAAAGTATTTTCGTCACATGGTAGCTGCTGATAACTGAAGTACCAGCAGCCAGCCGTCGTATCTCTCGTATATTTTCAGTTCTCTTAAATGAAGATCGGCTGGCGCTGAAGACTGATAACCCGCTCAGTCTATGTGAAAGCAAGAACTCCTTACTCGAAAGTTTGGGTTCCTCCGAGATGTTCGTAGAGAATCGCAAGTATAAAAAGAAATTCCCGGAAATTCTTATTTATGAGTCGATTTACATCAAATTCGGTTCAAATGCAGCTTTTTGCAACAATACCAGATCTGTTAGCAGTGCCGACCATTTCGAGTGCTGGACCGACCAACATCACAAATTATAGAAAATTAATGTTGCTTGTTGCGGTCGCCCCTCGGAAGGGAATCCCTAGCACTCCGAGTGTATTTTTAACATCAAGTAAAAAGTTCTTTTAAAAATCCATCGGCCGTCCGGAGGGGGATTAACAAAAAAATATAGTTTAATGATTCGATTGTGTTGCCGGAAATGCACCAAGCAACAAGTTCGATTTGCTTGAAATGTTTTGAGTTTGACCATGGGGCTGCAAACTATTCTTATTCGTTCAATCTTATTGTTCTTTATTGTTGTACAAGCGTAGATCAAAATAGTGAGTAGAAATTTTGCTCTTCTCATTCTCATTCTCGAAGCAAAATGAAGCAAAATGAACGTAAATTTGTTGTTGCTTGGCTATTGGAATCTCTATCGCGGATAGAGAGCTCTTATCAATATTTTGAAGAGAACTCTTAGCAGAGTGTAAGAGCGCATATCTAACGCTGCTCATTAACGTAATAACAAGCGTAATTTTATAAAAGCAAATCAGTCTGGTATGTGTGCTTGCCGTTTCATATACATATCTATGATATATAGTTTGTTGGAGTAAAAGTGTATTTACGAGCGTGCAAAAAAAGAAAAAGAAAAAAATGAACAAAGCAGTGAACGCATTTGTAACATGCGAACAATTCAAGTCGTTCTTGAGCGTTAATTTTAAAGACTTTGAAGAACTTTTAGGCTTTTCTGCAATTCGAGCTTTGGAAGATGGTGAAAACTATATAACAACAATAATAAGAATTCGAGCTGATATAAAGCTAAAAGGTGAGTAAATACTCTCTCATTTTCGTGATAGTTAGAAAGTTGTTTACCTTCGGTCCCTTTTTTCGCCTCCACATACTCATATACAAATTTACGTATGTGTGTGCACATCCATATGTTCGAATTCAACAAAGATTTATTGGCTCCAATTCATTTTAGATAAAAGCCGTCAGCGCATTTCTTTCATATTAAAAATTCCACTAAAGCTAAGTGAAAATAATAAAGTTAACGACAAAGGCGAAAGCCAAAGCGAAGTGGAAGCACCAACAGACTATCATGAGCTCTTTGTCTCGGAAGCGGATATGTACGACAACATCGTGCCAGAGTTGGAGCAAATATATGCAAAGTTTGGTATTCAATTGCATTTCAAAGCAAAACGGTACCGTTTCGCTCACGAATTAAGCTGTAATTACATACTTATGGAAGATCTACAGGCAAGGGGATTTGAAAATATGCCGCGGCAAAAGGGTCTCGATGTCGCTCATACGAATGCAGTGCTATCGAAGTTAGCACAGTGGCATGCTGCATCTGCTAAGAGAGTGGAGGTCAGCGGTGTTTACCCAGAGGAGTATGTGAATAGCTATTTCACAGATGAGCATATGACATTCATTGACAGCATGAATACAACATTCAATGAGCCGTTCAAACAGTGCTTGGAGAGCTACAATTTGTTGACCCGAGAGAAAGAGATAATAGTGAGTACATTAATTTTAGTAAACAACAGAACAACAAACAGAAGTTTGTTCTGAAATTTCATTTAAATTTGAATGATGATTGTCTAAATACCTAAATGAAACTCTGCATAAATATGTATGTATGTATGTATGTATAATAATATTTCCTAAGCGTTGTTGCCGTCAGAGATGCGAAGAAATTAGTCTGAGATGTTTTCACTCTTTCTGCAGGAGTTTGAGAAAAATTATGGACTCATAGTAGATTCAGTATGAATTTTTTTTTTTAATTTAACACGCTAAATTCCAGTAAATTTCTTGTGTAGGCTCACTTTTTACTTCCGTTGGGTGGGGCCTATAACATAAAGCACATTGTAGGAACTACATTTCTTAATTCCTCATTAAATTCTCTATGGGGTTATGGCTTTTATGCATAATTGATTGATTCACAGTTTGAGCAACTGAGCAGCTTTCTCTTAGTCCCAGCAAAACATCTGCTCTATTATAATCAGAGCCGCATTGTCTCTTTGCAAGTTTCGGAGGCATTTTCTGATTTATTTCATTTGAATGTCGTGAATTAGGTATTTTTAATAAAATTCAGATATCTATCGATAAAATTGTGTTCTTTCCAGTTATTAGGTTATTAGTTGTCTTCAGCTGCGAAATCTGTTCTATGTTATCATTTTTTAGGAGTTTTCCAATTAAGAGCCTCTGTGGTATGAGCGTATAATATTTTTTTCCAAGAATTTTATATGATTTCCTGCTCGAGGGAATTAACACTCGGTCTCCACGTCAGCCGATTTTAACCCAGATATAAGACCGTTATCCGCACCCGTGCGCATACTCTGTCTGCAATTCTAATTCACTTAAGGTGTTTGTGTTTTCTTGAGCAAATAACCTCGAGTTCCACGCGGACATAAGTGTAACACAAAACTAACTACAAACCATATAAAATACGTGGTGTGTTCAAAAAATATCGCGATTTTTGTGTTTTTTCAAAAATTATTTATTTATTCATGAATAATTATTTTGTCCCCCTCAAAGTAATCCCCATGAGATATTATACACTTGTGCCAACGGTTTTTCCAATCTTCGAAGCACTTCAAAAAATCATTTTTTTTATCTTGTTCAGCTCCTCCTTCGATGCCGTTTTTATCTCGTCAATCGTAGCGTAACGTCGTCCTTCCATGGGCCTCTTTAGTTTAGGGGGCCAGATCTGGGGAATACGGCCAAAAAGGCGCGCACCAGTAACGATGTGTGAGCAGGAACGTTATCGTGGCGCAAAAGCCAATATTTGTTCTTCTCATTATGCACCACGCCCCTGCAATCGAAGAAAACTGTCAGCAAAAGTTTCATTGCAAATTAAAAATCGAAGCAAAGCAGCTGTAAACAATTAAGTGAACATTCAAAATGGCCGAGCTTGTCGGCATAAGTGACAGACATGAGTACCAACATCACGCCACAAAAAAATCGAAATTCGATTATACTTAACCCGCGAAAATTCAAAATTCGCGATACTTTTTGAACACACCTCGTATACGGTCGGTTAACATTACAATGCCATAGAACTGGACTAGCAGATGGTGAAGTACACCATCCCAGTAGCTACAGGAATTAAGTTTTGTAACTACTCCATGTGGGTTGCATTACATATTTACTTTTTTCAAAGAATTCCTCGCCCGATTTGTGGTGAGCGCCTTGATGTTTTAGCAACAGCGGGAGGGATCTGCAATTTATTCCAAGCCTCCTTCGAAAGGCTGATGGTTTTTTTATGAGGGTGCTTTATATAATGCCAAAAGTACACTCAACCGTGACTGCAATATTTTGTTTTTGTATTAAGTTGTCATTCATATTTTACAGATCAATTACATGCGTAATATGAACCAATTATATTCGAAATTCGGCACAGTTCATCCGGAAAACTTCAATGTTCTCAACCATGGTGATTTTTGGATCAATAACATTATGTTCCGACATGACGACGATGACAGAACTGCCGTAGAGGAGGTGATATTTGTCGATTTTCAATTGCCCAAGTTCGGCAGTTTCGCAATGGATTTGTTTTGTTTCTTAATGACTTCGCCGCATTGGAATATAAAATTGAAAAGCTTTGATAATTTCGTTGGGTACTATTATCTGGAGTTGGTACGAAATCTGAAAATATTGCAGTACTCGAAATCGATACCAACACTGGAAGATCTAAAGGCTCAATTAGAGAAACATGGTTTGTGGGGTAAAGTGTACACATCCGTCTATACATTCGCTAACTTTTTTACATATGAACAATAATGAATTAGAAATGCATTTTTATTTATTTGCAGCATTTGTTTGTGTTCAACGCATGCTGGCTGTAGCTTTGCTGGATCCGCAAGAAAATTCCAACATCGAAACCTTCATGAGCAACAATGAGGAAGGGAAGGCCTTTAAAAAACGAATGTACTATAATCCCTTATACGTGGAACAAGTGAAAGAGATTTTGCCGTGGCTAATAGAGAAACGTTACCTACATTATATGACACAGATCTCATAATGGATTATTATTTAAGCCTTTTATATATACTCAAACATTTTCATAGATATTTAGGTAAAATGTAAGTGGGTATACGAGTATATTATATAAATGTTTATATATTAACGAATTTAAAATTATTAGAATCTTAAGCGTTTGCCATTTTTACAACTCGGTATATATTTCTATTTTGGTTATTTAAATAAAGGAAAAATTTATTAAGAGCCAACACACATGTATTTCAATATGGAAAAATATGAAACCTTGGAGCAGAATCAAATTTCAAAACCCCCCTCTCGAGTCTTAAAATCGGTTCCTTTAGAAAAAGACAAAGATCAAACTTGAAAAATAGCTTCATAAAAAAATAAAAACATTCTCTCGATGCTACTCATCATAGTAAATTCAAATAACGAGCTTCCAGCTTTTCAGAAATCTCAGGAAGAGACATGTGCCTTATAAGCAGCAACAAAAGGCCCATGCACAAAAGTTGTAAATAAATAAACGATTATTTCTTCAGAAGATGGCTGGAGAGAGCAGACTATTCCTCGTCTGGTTTCCTATTTGCAGAGTGATAGAGATGAACTAAACGGCATGGCACGATCACATTCTTGCCGTTAAAGAACGTATTGAAGTGCCGAGGCAGATTTGACAAAAGCGGGACCTATAGATTTTAGACCCTACATAGACATATACATACAGACAGGAAATTTAAAATTTTATTAAGAGACACGCTAAAACTAGTATGCAAAAGCCTGAGGCTTCTCTCAAAAGCGGTGTGCAAAAATGACCACACTGCGCGTATGGGCAGGTACTGCAAAGGACAAAACTCAAAGCTGGAGAAATAGGCACGTAGAGTGTTTAGTTTTTAACAACTAAACAAATATATATTTTTTTTTTTGGTGCTGAGCTTTTCTCTCATTCTGGCCAAAAAGAAAAAAAAAAAGCTCATGAACAAATTTCTTTTGGTGTTATTATGGTAAGCTTTTCTTTTATCTCAACATGAAATTTCATGAACACTTGTAGTCTCTACATTCTCTTGTTTGCTATTTGCAATCAGTTAAGTGTCAGGTATCACGGGTATATGTCCATACTTGCACCGAAATATCAAAAATTTATTTAAAAAATGTCGAAGGCGGAGGTAGAAAGTGATCCAAATATATTAAGTACTAACGAAAACGGGACTGCAGCCCCGACTGGCAATGACAATGGACTAACAATACCCGAGTGGATAACAGCCGAACTTTTCGTGGATCTTTTGAAGGAAAAATTGCCAGAGTTTCGAGAAATACGAAATTTCAAAGCAAAACCGGCAGTGGCGCCCGGCGAGAATTACGCCACCATAATGTTGAACATCGAAATAGAAATCAGCACACAATGTAAGTTGAACATCGGATTGACAATAGGTACACAAGTGCATTACTATTAATCCATGATATTGATAGCTGACAAGGAAAAGAAACTCTCCTACATGATGAAGATACCAATTGATTCCATGCGCGATCTAATGCGGAAATTTAACGTTTTTGACGTTGAATCCAGCATGTATCAAGTTGTTGTGCCCGAAATGGAACAGATGTTTCGTGACGCCGGTGTCGAAGTCAAATTCGGCGCAGAGTATTATAATATAAATACACCATCGGAGTTTGGTGTCATATTACTCGAAGATTTGCGTCAGTATGGCTTCAAAAATGTTGATCGCCTGGAAGGGCTCGATATGGAGCACACAAAGTGCGTACTGCGGAAGCTTGCGCAGTGGCATGCTGCGTCGGCAACCCGTGTACAGACAAAAGGTCCCTATTGCGACGATTTGATGAATGGTTTCTTTACAGATGAACATTTTGAAATGATGAAACAAATTAATGAAAACTTAGGTAATATGTTCTTAAGTTGTGCAAAGACATTCGAAGGAAATGGGGACTATATTGAGAGCTTGGTATTTATTTGAATATTAACAAACAATTATGAAATAAACACTTCTATACTAATGTGCTTCTATAGGAAAAATTCAATGCCCACTATTTTGATAAGTTTTTCCGAGCCGGAAAGACCGATCCGAGTGCTTTTAATGTATTAAATCACGGTGACTGCTGGTCCAACAATGTTATGTTCCAGCACGATACTTTTGGCAAGGTCAAAGAAACATATTTTGTGGACTATCAAATACCAAAGTATGGAACTCCTGCCCAAGATTTATATTACGCACTCATTTCATCGACCAGCTTCGACGTGAAGTTGAAGCACTTCGATTACTTCATAAAATTCTACCATGACAATTTGGTGGAAAATCTTACGCTTTTAAAGTATCCCCTGCAAATACCAACACTGAAGGATCTGCATATAATGTTACATAAACACAATATTTGGGGTGAGTCTGTTTAAAAAATTGGTACATACTGTATATATGTATGTACATATATGTATGTATTTATGTGTGTATGCATATTATATATGTATAGCTTACTCCACAATGACCGGTGTTATGGCAGCGGTTCTCTTGGATCCCACCGATAAAGCTAATTTGGAGAGTCTCATTGGAGAGAGCGAAGCCGGGAATGATTTCAAAAGACAGTTATATTCCAATAAGCGATACCAAAAACATGCCAGAGTCATATTACCATGGCTACTCAATCGAGGTGTGTTGGAGTGCTGACCTTCATAAATAAATAATTATTTCACAATACTTTGTATGCACACTTAGCTATAAAATTCTATAAGTGCAATTTTCGAGATAAAATTATAAATTGTTGATAAGAGTGCAATAACTATTAATGAATTCTATACACTCGCGTGTAAGTATGTATATGTGTGTAAATGTACGTATGTACAAATATGCCTGTGAGAGAGGAATTTTTAAATAAATGAATTAATCACTTGTAGAAACCTGCAATTAGTATCTTTTTTTATGGTTCTGTTTTCAAATCTACATATACATATGTACATCATGGGAATCACGTATATTAAAGACATACTGAAAACTTAAACATTGCTTACGAGCTGTGTTGCCATTTTAGTTTTTTTTTAGATTCCATTCACATAAAATGGTATCTAACTTCGTTTCGTCGTATGTATGTAAGATATGGTGTTGAGTTGATTTGACCTTCTCTATCTGTGCGTCATTTTTTGAGATATTCCAACCGAACTAGGTAATCAAATGCACTGGCTCATTTAAACTATCAGTTTTTGGAACCTGCTAGATCGGGCCACTGTCCACATAACCAAATAGATCACCGAATCTTTTAAATATCAGATTTTGGGTCATTAATACGTTATAAAAGCATATAATACCACCAATTTCGTGTTCTAAACACACATAATGAATTACACATTGGTGCAGAAAATTATCGAAATCGGTTGGCTATGACGTATAGCTCCAATTCACCGATACGTTCAGATAGGAATTTTTGCGTTAGACCCCGTCAAAAATATGTCTGAAAATGTGAAATTCGGTAACCAGCGCACCGGTGCTGAAAATTGTCGAAATCGGAAGACTGCATTATATTTGCGCTCCAACAAATTATTCAGATATGAGAATTTATAATGAAATACCATAAACTTGATATGGTCATGAACTGCACTACAGTTAAAATTAGCTGATTCTTTCGCTTTATTCAGGGAAAATACCTGCTTTAAGCTTGGTTTGTGTTAGGGGAAACTAAAATTTTTTTTAAAATGTAGTAACTGGAGCAAGATGACCTTATGTAAAACTATAGCGTAGTAAAATGTTCACTTTGCGCAGGCGCGATTTGACTTCTGTTTTGGGCTCGTTCAAGTGGCCAGAATATTTTGGAATTGAAAAATTGTGAATTGTCTTCCTAACACTCCATACTTTTAATTTTTATTAAAAGAGGTTTAATTTGTATCGAGCCGGTGCGAACATCCTTGAGCCTACCATCCACAAAACTCCTTTTCAAAGTATTTTCGATGTGGGTATGCCCATGGCCATTGAGGCCAAAAATTTTTAAAAGATCAAATTAATGGAAAGGCTGGTAGAAATTGCTCTTATTGGTGTATAATATTATAAAGATTTTACATATTTATTTATTTTTCGGTGGATAATTTGAGAAAGTTGATATACCAGCACCGCGATGAAGAGAATTCTAAAATAAATCAATCTTCAATATTCTTAAATGTAAATTTATGTCTGCATTTATATATTCCCCTCTTTGTTCAGTGTACAGTATTTTTTGAAGATTTGTTAAGAACTAACTTTAATTTCTTTTAAGATAAGAATGCGAAATTTCTATTTTGTTGTCTTCCCTAAAACATAGAAACCAAATGAACTGTTTGATTTTTACTTTAGCATTTTCCGGAAAGTTGTTTGGATGTTTTTATCTTCTTTTTTGGCATTTAGCTGGATCTCTGAAAAAGCTCTGGCAACACTGCTCACGAGTTTGTAAAATACATACATAAATATAAACTATGTATTATTATGTGTAAATATACTCTGGCATGACTAAGCTATTTAGTTTTAACTGCGCATCATATAATACTAGAAATAAGCGCCTCTACCGTATTTTGTCACGAAAGCTTAAAAGCGCGCGTGTCGATTGGACGTATCGCGAACTCCGTGCGAATGCCAATTCATCTATGCAAATTTATGTTATGAAAACAATTTAGACGAGAATTTGGATAAACTAAAAATAAAAGTTAAAATGTTACAATGAGCCAGAAGAAGAAGAAGATTTAAACAAAACACATAAGAAATAAGAGCAAAATGTCAGCAGTAGGAATTATCGAGATCTATTTTGTAAGAGTTATTATAAATTATTGTAATTTTCATATTGTCGATTCATCAAATTTTTCAATTGCCTTACCATTTTTTATTTGTTATTCTATTGACGTTTAATCGGAACACGTCGCAAAGATGAAACGTAACTGTTGGATCTGTAAATGTTAATTACTGACCTCTGTGATTTGAGTCTCGGATATTCATATTTATCCTTAAATGCAAAAATTTCTATGGCGCTCGAGAAAATATTATTATTTCTGTCGATCTTATCCATTTAACTTTGATCATTTATTGTATGCAACATCCCAACTCGGCCGAAAACTATGGCGCACATTAGCAACGCAGCTGAGATTTGACTCCTGAAAAGCTGCAACGATTCATGACTTGAAACACGAAGTGTCCATCGCCATCGCAACCATTGAGAGCTACACGATCGAAAATGTGTCGGAAAAGCCGCGGTAGTTATGTGCATGATGAGGTTTTCATACATTAATCGGACTGTTGAGGCATTTCAACACATGAATATCTTTATGATGGGTATATATTGATTCGGTTTTGTTCTTAAAAAGGGCTCGCCCTGCAAGTGGTGGCCGCTCTTCGAAGATATTAACTATCTCATTGGACAGGTTTCACATCTATCAACAATAATTAGTGCACATCAGCGTCTGATTTCGAGAACATTATTACTGCCCACTGTCGAGACGTTAGTGTACCAGTAAAAAAAACTCTCTAGACCTTGCTTCTTCCAATTACTGGCCTTTTCGGTGGATGCAAAACGATTTGGGAGTCACCGGCTCGGGTCTTTTGAAGAAATCGAAAAGTGAATGAATTATTGAACTGAGGACTCATTTTTCAGAGATGGTATTCGAAAATAACCAGAGAAATTGGGAAAAAGTAATCGCTTTCGACGGACAATGGTTTGTTTGATGTATTTTTTGGGGTTTTTTCAAATGTCTAACATTTTGAAATACGGTTTATATCCGCTGAAGTGATTTTCTGCTGAGCTCCAGCTCATTGTGATTGTACCTTAATTTTTTTGTAACAAATTGAAGCCCCTTCTGAAGAGCTGAGTTATTTTTTGAAGAGCTTTATGTCATGTTACACTCGAAGGGATGTACATCCCTGCCGAGGGGACACCGTAATTAGTTTTATAATTTTTTTCTTTTTTAATAAAATTTTTTTAATTTTGAATGTTGGCTTGGCCAGCCAACCGATGTTGAAGTAGCGATAAATTTAGAGATTCAAATACTCTTACATCGAAGCATTAGAAGGGGTGTCCCAACAAAAACAATGACATTTGTGATATTGAATTAATCTATCTAATATCGGTTAGAATTACTTTACTTCAACTGTTTTATTATGCGCTGAGTACATACAAGAATAAGAAAGAGCAAAATTCGGCCAGTGCGAACACCGAATACAAGTACAGGTAAATTAAATACCAAGCAAAATAATGTCTATGTTAATGTTAAAAACTCCTTAATAGAAAGCCTACTATATCCGCTTAGGGTGACCTGTAGAATTGATATAGCTTCTGTGTTTGTGAAGCATTTTGCGTCCACTAAAATTCTTTCTTGTATTAAAATTTGTCACTCGTACACAAAATGTAAGATTTTGCACGCCACCTGCTGAGTCTGAGCTGACCGGTCAAGAGAAAATGGATTTCATTTACTCTCTAATGCTGGAAGAATACCTCCGCAGCCATTTTGGTCTTTAGACGGCTCATTTGCAACACAGAATATTTTTTTTTATCGAAAGCAACCGTTAGGTGCAAGTGCACCATTCTATCCAGTAGAAAAATTAACCGCAAAAGGCAAGATTAAACACAGCGACACAAGCAGACAAGTTGCGGTTTTATATTGTTATTGTAAATGTTGGGTGTACTCGTACGTATATCTCTCGCGCACATACATGACTGACAATTACGTTTCTGTTTTAATAAGCGAAGAATATTCTCAATTTGTATACCTTTCATGAACTCTAACCCGCTGAATGAAGAACAGAGCCATCTGTCAGTCTATCGGTCGGAAATGAGTCCCTCAATTTTCGAATAATCCTTATACACTTTGGTGAATAGTTGCAACTTCATTTCCTATATGAGAGTTTTAACCGACTGACGGAGTTTATTGTTGCTGAGTTGTTGAGTACATAAAAACTGATATACCACCATCAAGGCCGGTCGCCTAAGGAAGCCATAAAAAGAGATTCATATAGCATCGCAGCAGGTCAAATGTACTTCAGAAGCGAATTTCGTTGAAGCTCAAATTCATTTAGCCTACTTTCATGGGAGGTATGAAGTTTTGTGCACAGTCGCATCGAGTCGAAAGTTAACTCTAAGTGTTTTATACGTCTGAAAAGATATAAACTTGCTCAATATTTCGTATTTGTACGAACGAGAGCAAAGTTTGCCAATTTGTTATCTGGCAAAATAAACCTCATTTGCACGCACTTATTTCACAATTATTGAAATTTAGCGCTGCGACAATACATACAAAGCACTAAATTTTAATATTTACATTCATTTCAACATCAATTTTCAGATTCTCTCAGTCAAATATCGTAATGAGAACGATATTGAAGCGCAGATAGTGAGTCGACCGTTAAACATACTCAGCGCAACCTCAAAGTAGTAGTCGTAGATGAACCGCTGCCCAGTACAAGTGTTCGCGAATATTAAATTGTAAATAAAAAAAAGTCATAGTATAATTTTTTAGAGGCAAATTAAATTCAAATCTTAACATGTCGTCGGAAACTCAGCAGAATGGAGCAAAAGAAGCAAAAGCGGAAACAAATAACGGCGTCGAAAATGGCTTTAAAAACCCCAAGTGGTTGACGGCAGAGTTGTTTGAAAAGTTTTTGATTGAGTCTATTCCAAATTATCGAAAAATCAAAAACTTCGAGGCTAAGCCCGGACTGGCGGCTGGTGAGAATTATGCAACGATTATGCTGCGAGTGCTCATAGATGTGGAACTAACGGGTTAGTGTGTATGAAGAGATGCAAAATAAAGCAACTACAAATCTTTAAAAACCGTTCATATTCAAATTTTATTTTCATCTTATCCTCAATTGTATACACTATAGATGGCTCAACAAAGTCGTTATCGTATATGTTGAAATTACCACAAGAAAATGAAATGTTCCAGAATATGATGCGGGAACATAACATTTTCGAAATCGAATATCGGATGTACCACGAAATTCTTCCTGAATTCAAACAGTTATATCAGGATGTCGGCGTAGATGCTTTGCTTTCCGCAAAATGTTATAACATTGAAACACCTTCCGAATTCGGCGTAATTTTGCTGGAAGATCTGAGTCCATTGGGGTATAAGAATGCCAACCGATTAGAAGGTCTTGACATGGAACATACAAAGGCGGTGCTGGAACGTTTAGCACAGTGGCATGCGGCGTCGGCAACACGAGTCGCTCTTAGAGGTCCATATCCGGAGTTGTTCGTAGCAGGCATGTTTACCGAAACGCAACGCGAACCAATGGAAAAGTTCAGCGCTACGATTACGCCCTCATTTTTGGCGTCGGTTAAAACCATAAAAGGCAGTGAAACTTATATGCCCAGCTTGGTAAGTTGGTAGAAGTGGTGGGTCTGCAAGTCTTAATGTTTTTTTTTTATCACATTAAGGTGAGCACCATGGATAAACTGACCGACGTGCTATTCAACGTTGCTGAATTCGATCCAGACGATTTCAATGTATTAAATCATGGCGATTGTTGGAGCAACAACATCATGTTTAAATATGATGACAATGGCAAAATCGAGGACACATTAATCATTGATTACCAAATGATAAACTATGGTTCTCCAGTCAAGGACTTACTATACTTTTTACTATCGTCGACAGCATACGATTTGAAAATAGAAAAATTTGATTACTTTATCAAATTTTATCATGACAATTTAGTGAAGCACTTGCAACTTTTGAAGTATCCTAAAAATTTGCCCACACTGAAAGAAATGCAGATAGCTACGATAAAATATGGGTCTTGTGGTAGGTTCAACTAGTGGGGCTGTAAATGTTAAAGCTTAGAACTACAAATGAATTTCGTTTCATCTCTTATCTATAGGCCTATCGGCAGCTATAGGCGTTATGGCAGCAGCTTTATTAGAATCAAATAGTGATGCTAATATGGACGGTTTTGTCGGCGAATCGGCTGCCGCCCAGCGATTTAGGACTGCGTTATACTCAAATCCCCGCTATCTTAAACATATGGAAATGGTAATGCCGTGGCTGAACAATCGCGGTGCCTTCGAATGAGGCTGAATGCCGAATCAATCTTCTTTTCATACGTTGCGTTTAAGCAAATTTTCGTGTAAATCATTATCATTATTTTAAATACTTTTTTAATTAAAAAAATATTATACGAGTACAAAATATATTTTTGATTGGCCTATGTAAATATATATGTGTGTTTTTTCTTCCTGAATACCCTGTAGGAAAATGTGTAGCGCATTTTATTCTTGCTGGCAAAGGAAATGCAGAAAGCATTACTTTCTAGCTTACTTTCCGCATTACCATGCATTACCTTTTTCGAGTGAACATCGTTGTTTATTATTCAAATCAAAAATATAGAATTTATTAACGAAGAATGGAAAAGGTTTTTAATTCTTTTAATAAAACCAGTTATGCGGCGTCGTGAGCTTTGAATGTACATACGATTTTACATTTCTTTCAAATTCTAGCCATACATGTGTCTGTATTCAAGGCTGGTTCAGCTCTGGGATTGCGTCTTCAGGAGAACCGTCATTCACTCTTATACAATTTAAAAATCAGCTGTGGCATTGCTTTCATCCCAATTTCGATTCATTTTTAATAGTGCAAAGCTAGTCAGCTCCACTAATAGAGATCATCTATTAATTATCAACGATTTTATAAAAGCTCTGATGCAACTAATACAGATTGAAGTTTAAGAATTAGAAAGAAAATTTTAGAATATTTGAAAAATTGAAAAAAATTTAAAGAGAAATATTAAAAAACGCTCGCCAGCGAATAAGAAAATACAAAAGTATGTTAAGCTTGAAAAGTTTAAGCTGAAAAAGCTTGTTTAATTTATGTATACGTAACAAAACTTTCTTCTATTTCACAGATAACAAGTCACAAACTAAGAAAATTGTCTAAAATTTGTTTTAAATTTCATCAATTACACCGATACTCCATTGATTTAATCATTTAATTTGCCTTTGAAAATGTTTCGAACTAAATAACTTAAAGCAACATGGAAATTATGACGTATGCACAAAAGATCACCAAAATCTAAAGGCGCAATCTGGCATTTACTATTCTTGGTCGGTATGCATGTGTACGTGTATGTAGGTACGAGCATGTATGTATATTCGAATAAAAAGCTTAATCAGGAAAGCTCTTAATAAACAAACTTGTTTATCAACAAACATCTATGTACATACAAACTCGTTTATCATTGAAAATGTATGAGAGAGCAAAAGTATTTGCCTCTCATAAGAAACTACCAAACAGTTTTCGACAATATTTTTGGTACCATAGCAAGAATGGCATGTTAAAAAAAGGTTAATTCGATAGATTTATGATCGGTTTAACTCATAAGAGATATAAATTGTATTATCTGCAGCCGATACCTCAATTCGATACTACAGTGGACAATGATTATTGGGAAATTTGAATTTAAATCTTTTTTTTAGATTCCGATAGAAAAAGTATACATATAATACTATACCTCCAGCTTCTTCCGTAGTGGCGTATTCAAGGCTTACGCGAGTTAAAAATAGCGCACGATTCATTCCATATTTTGATAGTTTGACGCCAACCGATCCTTCCCCACCCGCTCTTTTCAATGGCGCAGTGGTCTTCCCTTTACTCTGCTTCCACCGCGAGTATTGCATCGAAAACGTTCAGAGCTGAAGTATTCATACCCCACCGAACAACATGTCTTAGCGAGCGTGGTTCCATGATTTATGTGGAAGCTGGAATAGAATTCTTTTCCCGATTTTTTTCTCTTGGTTGTTTGGAACACTTCTGGGAAGTTGCAATCATAATTATAGTGAAACATTATAATTCAAATATCTGAAATGATTGAAATGCTTTCAAATTCAAATTTAATTTTTGGTAAATTTTTTTTGTCAGATTCGAATATTTGAATTTAAAGTGTTTTAAAAAACTTCAACTATTGCGTGAATGGTATCAAAAAACTAGAAGTATTCGATTCCGAGACAAACTCGTTGTGTTTACTGGGATTAAACGTTAAGATGATCATCAGTATCCAATTTAATAATCATTAACAAATGGAAGAGATGTAGAATTTATAATCTACATAGCAATTAATTACAATTTGTTCCGATATTTTTTACTTTTGTTTAGGTTAAAACAACGGAAAATATTTAATACGATTTGTAATTTGACGCTTATGTTCGAGTAGCTGCAATAAATTGTTTTAATTTCACACGTTAGTAAAGGCTTTTAAAAGCTTAAAATCTTGTTCAATTAAAGCTAATTGAAAATTAATACTAAAACGCAACTAACCGCGACTCTAAGGTTAAAATGTATATAGTGCTTTGCCATGTTAGGGAATTTTCTCATTCTATACAGAAGTATGCACATACATATGTACTTATATTCACAGTATATTTCACCTGCATAACATATGTAAGAGTACATACTCGTAGATACAGATATACAATCATACATACATATACGCGAGTAAGCACATTCATACATATGTACATTTATATAAAAATCACATCACATGTCAAGTTGATAAGCACGTTGAATGCGTGAATATTTTGTATTCTACATTGCATACCCCGAGTGTTAAAGTGAAATGCTTAGTGGTGAGAAAAAGTACTGGTCTATAAGTCATATATGGAAGAATGAACTAATTGCACTAATATTTAGTAAATTTCCAATTATGAATACTGATCAAACATACCTTTGGGTTAGTTAGGGACCCGGTGGTTGGTCTTTTGTAATGCCAGATGGAGGTTCAGTTTAGTTGGAGTTGAAGTCGTCCACCTAAGACCGGACAGCAACAAGTCTTGGCGGTTTTACATGCCATTAATGCGTTCTTACGGAAATTTCATTTGGCATAATTCTTAGCGATTTTCGAATTTCCTGTACGAGTCTGATAGCCAGAAGTATGACACTTTCGGCCTAGAATCTACAAATGTATATGAAACTGCTTTACTGCAGCTGTCACATGCTGCAATATGATGTGAGATTATTTCCATAATTGCTGTCGATGTATATTTTTGAATATTTTTTGTGTGGTTTCTTCTTTTAAAGTGACTTGAAATTTTCATTCCAAAATAAAGCGTTCGCGTATGTACCTTTAAGGTTCTTGTAGAAAATTTACCCAACTCCGTCAATCTTTCAGATGACGGCAAAGCTTTCCACTGCAATGTCAATTAATGGTACGTTGAGCAACCCATCTAATGCAGTCCTTGAAATGGTTATGTAGAAGGGTTTCAGTAAGAGATTTTGCTAGCAGCAGTGCACCACACCAGAACACCGTAAGGCAAGATTGCTTTGATTACCAATGGGGAACAAGAATGTATAAGGTCAGGCGATAGCCTCAAGTAGATCCTAAAATCTTTTTACATGTGATGCTCTGACCCTTTCTTCCACAGATAATTTACATTTAATTAATATCAAAACCTTTTTGAAATCGGCGCTTTCTACGCCGGATTCTTGTATGTCCTTGTAAAGAGTCTCCCAGCCGTCTTATCGACGTTTAGTTGTTGCCTATCGACCCTCAAGACGTTATCCATCACTAATATGAGCTAAGTCGTCTGCATAGTCTATAAGCTTGGGTACAACTGCCAACAGGAGCGGTGACAGTACATCTTTTGAGGAATTTTTATATGTGCCAATCTGAGCAATCTGAATAGGTTCCACTTCGCGTAATCTCCCTGAGCTTAGTACAGCTCTTATCCATGCTAAGAGGGCTTGCTCTATTTGGGCAGCTTCCAGACTAGTAACGATGGTGTCATTGGATATATTATTAAATGGCATATTTGTGCCCAGAAAGACTATTTGGGCGTATTCTTTATGCTCCAGTGAGTGAAGTGCAGCCTCAGTGGATCAGCCCTGTCATATGTAAGTCTTTGAAAGAATGTCTTTAATGTAAGCGTCCAGATCAAAGAACATACCATTGAATAAACTGTGTGTCGAAAACAGTATATTCCAACTGAAATGTAATAACTACCATCCCTTGGAGCGTTTCCTAGCACAAACACACATATTTCTTATACAAAAAAAATACACTAGTTTCGAACTAGTTTTTAACTAGAGCCATTGACTGCGAGGTTTACCAGCAAACCAAATTGCATATGTTTAAGATTTATACCAACTTGCATACAAACATACGTATGTGCCTATCACAAGCGAACAGCAATTAGAAATAATCAGCAAACGCACGCAAAACATACTTATCAATCAAACATTATTAGTGGTACTCATGTTTTCCCCGATAGGAGTCATTTCGCCTATCTCGCCTTTGATAATAGCACCAAGAAGTGATAGCAGCAGTACCATCTCAGGCGAGGTAAGGGCGGATACAAATGTATGCGACGCCGTGACTATTGTGACGAATGAATACATTGTTGTTGTTGTACTTTCATATGCCGGCTGTAAATTGAAAACAACACGAATAACAGTAAATTCAAACCGAGTTAATCGAAATTTGGCCCACATGATTAGAACTGCAACACTTAAGGCCAGAACGAGCAATCGAACGGCAAAGCAAACATTGGGTGAGTCCGTAGCAATTGGACATATAAAACGCTGAACCCGCCAATAAAGGAAGAGGTACATACTCCATATATACTCTATATATTCCTTCAGTTTTATTTTTTTTTTTGCGCTTATTGAAGAAGTGATAACAATTTTCGCAAAATTTGATCAGTTCAAAAAGTGCCCTTGCCGTGTAACTCTATTTGAAAATTGTGTTGCAATCGCAAAGATAATGGTAAAGGTATTGTGCTGCTCAATTAGAATCGAATTTTAATATAAGTTAAATTTCACATAAATAATTGAAAAACACACACATATGTACGCATGTATAACAAAAGTACTTATAGTACTAACATAAAATATTATCTTCCAAATATAATGATCAATAAATATTAAACTGACTTAGTTACGCACACTTTTGATAACAATGTGAATATAAATTAAAAAGTTAGAGAGGTTCTTAAAAACCCGTTATAATAAAAAATCGCTCAAGTTTTCCCTCCTTAAATAAATAAAAAGTATCAATTAAAATTGAAGTGGGAAATTTCAGTCGTTTCGTTAAAACCGATTTTTGATCGAGCTCCAACTGGGAGACCTACAGTTTATCCAAGTAGATAACACAGAGTACTTTTCAAACTATAGCGGTCTCATTAGTAAGCGAGAACCTCTCTTCGCCGCAGTTGGATATTTCTGGATGAGCTGCATAAATCGTCAGTGATTCACTTTGTTCTCTGCAGTTTGCCAGCCATTCTTCGAATAAAAGTAAATGATCACCAACTGGTTTTGATGATTCTTTTTTTTGCACATGGAAGTTTACTGGGACGTCAGCAGTGCATAGAAAATACCTTTAACTGGAAAGTTATCAGAGATAAGATCCGATTTTTTATGGAAAACTTTGTTACGATGGAGTATTGGAGATATCTTATACAGAAGAATTACTTCAAATAATTTTTAAAGACAGGGTAAAAGACTTATTGGCCTATATGGTGGTTAAATGTTTTGCAAAACAACTTAAATTTTTTTCGTTACTACGCGTCCAGTTGCCATTTGTGATTTCGATTGGAGAACTCACATCACCTGGAGGCTTACAGTTCTTTTATATCTTCAGCGCACTTATTAGTTTTTTCTCTGCTGACTTTAATCCTAACTTTGAGGGAGGAGAGCGATGTGCTGGTCATTCTCTGCGCAGACGACGCATTTTTATTTCTAATTCTTCTATTTCAGTATTTGTTTGTATTTGTTGAGTGGATATTTAAGCAAAACATAAAAACCTTTAGCGATGTAGTGAAATGTCGCTGCTCCAATTCAATGATTGGTTTCCCATGGAAAATATGTATTTGTGTGTGCTATATGTAAGAGAGAATAAGGTTTAATTATAATTACAATAATTCAAAATGATGGGTAACATTTACTACACTTTAGACACCCTTCGGCCGCGGTAGCCGAGTGGGTAACATTGCGTACTGACATTCGGAAGGCTCGGGTTCAAATCCTGGTGCCGCACCAGCATCCAACAAAGTTATAGAAAATCAATTAATATAAATAATTCAGTTAAAATTTCTAATTACGGTCGTGCCTCCGGGTGACAAGAAATAAGGCTCCTCATAAAAATCCATTAGCCGTTCGGAGGCGGCTGAGTATAAACTGTAGGTCACTCCATTTGTTGGAAAAACATCAAGGCACAAAACTATAATATGATGGAGGAGCTCGGCCGGAAATCGCAGCGGTTGCAAAGCGCCAATTATAAATATACACAAGTGTAATTACCTGATAACTATCGTCGAAAGGTGATTAGTTCTCATATGTATTAACACTAATATCCTCATACTAAACATTTCGCATGCGCAATTCGAAGATGACGTAAGTTTTGACATAACCGAAAACTAATCAATACCACACACAGAAGAACCAATATTGAAAAAGTCAATAACAGGAACAAGCTAAACTTCTTTAAGCATCAAACGAATAGTGGAGTTCGTTACTAACTCTTTTTGTGCAGAATTACACTAAAAATTTCTCAAAGTTGTCATTACCATACCTTCACACTTACATACACTGCGCGAAAAATTACTATAAATAATTAAAAATAAAATTAGAAGTGCTTTAACTATAGTCACAAAAAAGAGGTGATCCAACAAACTTAATGGGTAACAAGACAAGCAAGCGAGAATAGTATAAGTCATCGAGGCCATCCAACGGGAGATCTAGGAAATGGGTTGTGTTCGGAGGAATGCAAAGAGGTGGTTTATGTCCCGCGGAATTTCATTCCATAGTCGACATACGTTGGCCATGTCGGAGTCAACTGCGAATAAATAATAGCGGTAATTGTGGCAGCATTACTTATAACTCGGCAGATGGAGCTCTCTGCCTGCAAATGATTGGGGATTGGATAGCGAGATCGCCAGTCACAGGAAAGAGTTCATGAAGTTGGTCCTGGACTCCAGGTGAATGGCATTTAAAGACTGTACACCGTCCTAACTAGCGGTGATCGCTTTAAATACTGTATGGAATCGTCGTATTCGAGTACTTTTTTGTTGATGTGCGTGCGGTGATCCCGACAGTAAAACTCCAGCAGAAGTTGCGAACACAGTATAACATGCTCCATAACGGGGTCCCCTCTAAAAGTATTTCTGACATGAAATAAAAAGCCATCAGCTGTTTGAAATCGGCTTGGTACAAAATGTAGGTCCCTCCATTTGTTGGAAAACTTTAAGACGCATAATCATAGAGGAGTTCGGCCGAAGCTCGCTTCAGCGGCTACGAAAGCTCTAATATTATATAAAAAGGGGATAAATTTATTCTTATTTTAAAGGGTGTTATTTTCACCCCTCATATGTATTTAGCTCCACCCACCTATCACAGCGCCATCTGCTTGTCGACGTTTTCTTTGGTGCTGAAAGATGCTTAATACATTATACACTGCATTTAAATCGCTGCTCACAAAAAACAACCGTACAATTAAATTAAAATAAACGGAACATTTTCCAGATTTATGTTTTATATAAGTACCTGCCACACGTATGGATGTGTAAGTTTATAGTGACACAGATATTTTGTTTTTAATCATAGACTTATGAAACTGAAATGGACTCTCCACCAAATGGCAATGTCATCGCTGTTGAGGCCAACAATTTGCCCAAATGGCTGGAAACGGTAACTTTTGAAAATGCCGCTCGCAAATATGTCGGCGAAAACTTTGAGAAAATTGTCAAGGTGCGCTTCGAGAGTGATTCTAACAACAGCGCTAATTATTCGTCGCTACTGTTGCGACTTAATCTGGATGTGGAGCTTAAAGGTAAGTTATCACACATACATATGTACATATGTACAATTCCAGCGTAATATTTAATTTTACGAAACGCACCAAAGAAAAATAACAAAAACTATTAAATTATTTCTTGTTTATCGGTCAATATTTAGATATTTTGGAATTTATTTTTTACCCAATATTAAGTAAAAGTTCTGAAATTGTTGAAAAGAAAAACAGATCAATACTTCTGGAATAAAAACAAAGTTTTTTGGTTCCTTTAAATTTTATTCTCTTAAAAAACAATATTAGAATTCGGCTCAAAGCAACACTTTCGCGTCAAAAATAGTACTTTTTATTGTGTAAAAAAGAATATGTGTTGACTATATCATGGATAGTATTTGGTATACTAGTTCCGAACAACTTCATTTGACTGCAGATTGCCTATACAAATGGTTTGCTTTAAAATGCTGAGATTTCCATTTCAGATACCACCACGAAAACATTGAAATTCGTTCTAAAAGTTCCGCACAGTAATGAAATAATGTCGAAAATATTAATTTTATTAAAACTGTTCCCAAAGGAAGAGCAAATGTACCAGAGTATTTTACCAAAATTCGAAGAACTCTATAAGCAAGTGGGTTGTGATATTAAATTTGCTCCCAACGCCTATCAATTCGATCGAGATATAGGGTTGGATTATGTTTTACTTGAAGATTTGCTTCCAAGGGGTTATAAGAATGCCAACCGCATCAAAGGACTAGACATGGAGCACACTAAGCATGTGCTCCGGAAAATGTCCGAACTGCACGCCGTCTCCGCATGTTATGTCGAACATTTCGGCATGTTCCCTGAAGAATATACTGTTGGAATTTATGCAAAGAATAATAGGGAGCTACTTAGGGAGTTTAATGGGTCCAGTGCGTTTTTGGCGCAGTTAAAAAAATGGAAGAATGGTCAAAGCTATTATGAGAAGCTGGTAAGTAAAACTCAAATGTAATTAAAATATCCACTCCAGATATATGTATATTTTGTGCTTAAATTTCACTAAAGACTTAAATATTTATAATCGTCTAATTTAAAAAAAAAATTCAGGTTGACAGCGACAACTATTTGGTGGATCGTCTGCTACAGGATCAGGTGTATAATCCAAGCGAATTCAACGTTCTTAATCACGGCGACTGTTGGGTGAACAATATTCTTTTCAAATATAATGCCTTTGGTCAAATTACGGACACACGTTTTATTGACTTCCAAGTGGGCAAATACGGATCGCCGGCAAACGATCTATACTATTTCATATTATCCTCCACAGCCGCCGATATCAAATTGTCACAATTTGATTATTTAGTACGTTATTATTTCGACAATCTCGTAGAAAATTTGAAACTATTACAATATCATCGACCGCTGCCAAAACTGCGGAACCTTCATTCCGTACTGCTGAAAAACGGACTAGCAGGTAAGTGATTACCGATTCGAGTTATTAAAAAAGCTTCCTTCGATAATTGATTGTTTTGTTTACTATATGGCATGTAGAGCAGAATTCTTGGAATTCGTCTTCATAAACATATTCCTGTTTAGACACGAAAAGGTCATTACACAGTATTCGTCATTAACTGTAACATGTCCTAAGAAATATGGACCAATGATTCTCTTACACCGCATAGTCCGTTCATTATGAAATGGCAAACCAGGTGGGATGCTTCCTTGAAAATAACACGACTGAAAAAATACCTTCGATTTTTTTAACAACTTAAAAACGGAATTTTTTCGTGACCCTCTCGTTATTAGACAAAAACCTTTCATAAAGTAGTTTTATTTAAGGTAGCATAAATTGCAGGTTATTGTGGAATAATTTCGGAACACCCTAGTGGATATACTTTCTAAATTAATTTTTTTTGTGACTCCCGCTCATGAGCATAAGAGAGACCCACTGAAATTTACACCCAACGGATTCCGTTAAAAAGACCTCTAGAAACCTTGCAGATTCAAATAAAAATCATCGAAATTTGAAATGCTCATGAAAGATATAATTACGTTGAAGCCAGCTCTTCGTTCTTGCTTACTTATTTTTTATTTTTACACACAAATATTTTTAAACCGTTAAGCATATACTAGGGTAAACATGAGTGCATCTAAGTAATTACCTCAAATTTCTTTTTCAGCCTACTTAGTGGTGTCTAAGGTGCTGCCGGTCGTCTTGTTGGAGAAAAGTGGTGGTAATGAAAGCATGGAAAATGGCGCACAAGCCGAGAATAAACTGAAGCTTGCCATGTACACAAATCCAAAATATGTTGAGGCAATGTCAACTATCTTACCCTGGTTGGATAATCGCGGTTTGCTTGACTGGAGACTATGAAATTTGTGTAGCAAATCATTAGCTATTGTACTTTCACACACCCATTTAAGTGCAAATAATTAACTCTGCCTTCTGCATTTACTATACTTTTGAGTTTTTGATAATAAAACGTTAACTTGAAACGCTCACGTGTATCATGACGTAATTATTTAAAGGCATCGTTTCGTTGCGGTCTTAGCTTAACGTTGTATTTTGGAGCTAGAGGATAAATGCGAAAAAATTGCGGCCGTTTTGTAGGAAAATTTTAAATTTTTACATTTTCTTACAAAATATTCGTATTTTTAGTTCAGATATTATTTGGATTACACGAAAGAAAATTAAATAAATTAACGATGTATGTCGTAAGAAAAATATGTCAAATATTCAGAAATTTTGAGGAATGAGACTATATAACACTTAATACACAATTACTAATGTATTGCCTTTATAGCCTTTGTTAGAAAATTTATGCAGAAATTCATATGAAACTTAAAAAGCAATTACTTTACAATGGTACTTAGACATCATTTGGCCTTCTTACTTTCAAAAATCTCTGTAGGCACATTTCCGCTCACAGCACTAAATATCTTTCAGACTCTTTTATTTTCGCTTGCTGCTCCCTCTATGAGCATCACTTTAGAGAACTCCTCTATGATTTCTTCTTTCACTTAGTCTTCGTCAGGGATGCTATAGGTGGCATCTGTAAATGCCCGAATAAGTGTATGATTTGACATGATCGGATGTACTCTAAATCATATGACTCGTAAACAAACCGATAAAAATCACCAACAGTCGGTAACTTACTGTCAGACGTACTCAGAAATATTTATTAACATGCAAATAATCATTTATTAAAACATTAAGACGTTAAACACATTAAGACATTAAGACATTTAGGAAAAATTGAGAAAAATGCACTCGAACCTCTTTTTGGGTTTCATAGAAAATTCATGGTACCCATCGAGCAGATTCCATTGTGTACCCAGATGATTACCTAATATTCGCGATGATACAACCGTGGCATTCAAGCCCAATTCATTATCAATCATATTTTGTTTCAATCGTAGGTCTTCGTCAATTTTAGGCATCACCAGAGCTACAGTGACATCATCAGTGGAAAAATGTCCTGACTGGAATCTTCGGAACCACTTAAAAATTGTCTTCAAAGACGGTGCAATCGTTCCATATGCAATTTGGCATTCACTGAATATTTGTAATTGGCCAGAACCCGGTGAGAATCAAATGGCGAATTTGGTATTTTTAGGTTTTACAAAAACTAAATTAAAGCCAACAACTGAACGAACTTTTGTTATTCTCCTCGTACATTTCTGTCAATCAGGCATAACTTGACAGAGTTTGGTTGGAAACTTTTATTACGAAGCTAACCGAAAAATTGCTAAATATCATTATAAAAATGTTCAGCATGTAACTGATTAAAATTAATTTTAAATAAATAAAAATTGTGTGTTTTTTTTCTTTTAAATAAAAGAAATCGTCGATTGTCCACTTGAAAATGGCTGGGTACACAAAGAAGCTCAAATTTCCATCTGCGAATCGCTGCCCGACTCTGAAGTGTAAGACGACTGATGACGATAAGTGCATCACTTACAACTCCGTCAAACAAAAGCGGTCGTGGCGTAGCCGGTAGTGACGGAAGGGTTTTTTCTGTGTTTGGTGGGATTGGCAAGGAATCATCCACTATTAGCTCCCTTACGGTCAAACTCTTAGTTCAGACCTGTTATAACAGCAACTGGACCGTCTGAACGAAGCAATCGTCCAGAAGTGTCCAAATTTGGCTAACAGGAGAGGAATTATTTTTTATCAGAACAACGGCAGGCCTTATAATGTAGATTCGATCTTGCACCAGGTGTTTACCTTCTGTTACTGCGCCTGTGAATATCTATTAACCCAAGTTTTTGCCAATAGGCACAAGGGTTTCTTTCAGGACGCCATATTGGCGCTGCTCTCAAAATGTAAAACCATTGGATTACTTTGTACTAGACAAAATAATTAAAAACATTTCAGTCAGCAATTTTCCAATGTGCAATAACAAACGACGGCACAGTAACTCCAATTTTCGTAGTCAGTCAGAGCTTTTTAGTCATTAAAATATAATTTCAAATTAAATAAAATTATGTATGTCAAAACCTTAGTCCCCAAATATTATCTAAACAGTTTAAAGTGCAACAAAATTCTTATTGTTGTAGACATATAAAAATTTCGATTCAAATTTATTCATAAAACAATAAGACTGCCGTCTAGCTCGTGCCCTGGCAGACGTGAATATGTGTATGTGTGAGGTCTGTTCACTAGATAAGAACGCGAAAGTTATTTAAGAAATGTGTATTAGATTAGATGGTGACCGCGGTAGCCGAGTGGTTAGCCTTGCGTACTGTCATTCGGAAGGTTCGGTTTCAAGTCTTGGTGTCGCACTAACATCCTATAAAGTTATAGGAAATTTATTTAAAATAAACAATTAATTTAAATTTTCCGATTGCGGTCGCCCCAAGTCAGGGAATGTTAACTTCTCCGAGTGTATTTCTGACATGAAATAAAGTTCCTCACAGAAAAAGCCATCAGCCGTTCGGAGGCGGCTTAGTATAAACTGTGGGTCACTGCATTTGGAGGAGCTCGGCCGAAAAATCGCTTCAGCGGTTACAAAGCGCCAATTATATATATATATATATATATATATATAAACATATTTTACGTATCACATAGCGTAGGAAATTTGGTAGTAACATAATTATATATTGTATGTATGTATTATTGTATTCCGACGTATTCTGAATATCTCCTTCAATTTGGAGCAGAGCGCGATTTGTCTTTGGGTTTGGATGTTATTTTCAGTTTGTTTTGTTTACATTTTTAAAGCTTATCACGCATAAATTGGTTGTGCCATTTTTTTCAAAAGTATGCAGTTTTAAAGAAAATTTAATAAATTTATTTCTTTTCTACACGATAATTTTTTTAAAAAAAAAAAGTAAATAAATTTGCAAAAAAAAGTCTGAACTAAAAAATGTAAATATTTGTGTTGAGAAATATATTTTGTGTAAAAAAATAATTCTAACACAAAAACCTAAAACCACATCCAAGTTTTACGCAAAAGTTTCGTATTGAATGAATTTAATTTAACACTTTTTTCTCTAAATTTGTGACCATTTTTTATCTCTTTGATAATGAAATATTCAAGCCATTTCCTTAGTGATAAATACTGATTGCCATCTTTTGATTGATTTTTAAGTGGATTTTTGACGAAAAGGCCTTGAGTATATTCTTCGTCTCCATTTGTTTTAATTAGCCACTCGTGCTATAGGGTTATCCATTTCGTGGCGAATCATTGGTTCATATTTATGCAAAAATGGAGCCGGTCATAATATAACAGACTATTGGGGGCGCTATAGAGCCATGATTAATGACTTTTTTTTCGCACCTGAATTAGAAGATGTTAATATGGACGATCTTTGCTTTAAACAAGGCGACCTTACATGCCATATGCGATTATGTGAAGTCACTGTCCTACGCAGATCAAGCCGATGCGACTGGCAATTGCCTTGGAGGAGAATATTCAGCGCATTATTGCTGACACACGACCCTAATAGCTGCAAAAAGCTGTCTAAAATTGGGCCTCTCGGCTGGAAGTTATTTGAGCCGGCCCTTATCTTTTAAGAAAGCCCTATTGCTGGCCGAAAACATTAAAACTACGGGTTTAATTTTTTCGTGAAAACAACATGTCTTAAAAGCACCATTTACAATTGATGCCTCCGAACAGTCTCTCGTGCTCCAACTATATGAAAATATCTTTTTTTTTTATATAAGTAACGCAGTGCATGATTTAGGTTAGACATTTTGGGTCTAGTTGTACGAATGTGCTTTATTTCCCTCTCTCATTTTCGTTAATCAGCAGAGTACTTTTTTTTATCATTCGTCTTATGTTGTTGCTGTGTCTCACCTTGAAGTTGTAGTTTTTTACAATTTGATTCAGACGGTAGTGCTCATTAGCCTTTGAACTGCTAAGCGAGTAAGTTGCTGTGCTTTGGAATTCACTAAAAAAAGTAAGTATAGATTATGTGCGGATGGAAACTTGTTGTACTCTGAATTAATTAAACAAAAGCTTTGTTGCTGATTTATATGATAATTTAAATACTATTTTACGGATTTTTTTCATTTTTCTCGCATCTCACAATCTGACGTTATTGGGACGGTGATTCACAAGCGCTGTCGAAGCATGGCGCCAAACAATACAACTGCAGCAGTGGTTAATCCAAACGAGAACCTTAGCATACCGCAATGGATCAATGCAGCTTACTTCGTAGACATACTCAAAGATGATCTGCCAAATTTTAAGAAAATAATCAGCTTTCAGCCAATCGCCGCCACTGCGCCTGGAGAGAATTACTGTTCGATTATGTTACGTGTTATAATTGAGGCGGAATTAAAAGGTAATTTAAAGATTGATTTCATTTTTTTTTTTTTTCATTTAATTATTACCATTCCACAAACACATTTTAGATGCTACCACAACGCAGTTAAGTTACATTTTAAAAACTATGCTGGATAAGAATAGTTCTGGTGCCGCCATTGCAAATAATATGAATATGTTCCCCAAGGAAAAGCAAATGTATTCGGTTATTCTGCCTAAGTTCGTGCAGTTATATAGACAGGCAGCAGGCGTCGAGGTACGTTTCGGACCAACCAGCAAATATGCCGAAGAGACACCTGAGCGTATCACTTTGGTTATGGAGGATCTCAAGCGGGAAAATTACTCAAATTATGATCGTCTTAAGGGTTTGGATATGAAACATATGACGCGCGTATTGCAAAAATTAGCCGAATTTCATGCAGCTTCAGCATGCTATTATGAGTCGGCAGGTTCATATGGTGATTTATACCAGAATACTTTTTTCACAGAAGCTAATCGTCAACTATATGTCCACTTACAAAAGTCTAGAGATCCCTTACTGAAAAGAGCTATGCGCGAGTGGCCGCTAAACGACATCGAAGACTACATTAATAGGATACCCAGCGGTGAGCAAATGTTTGACGAAGGTTTGCGTTTGAACTTCGTTGATCCTACCGAATTCAATGTATTGAATCATGGCGATTTGTGGACAAATAATATTATGTTTAAGCACAATGAGCAAGGCCTGATTTACGAGTGTTTGTTTGTGGACTTTCAAGCGGGCAAATGGGGCACACCTGCGTGGGATCTGTGGTATTTGATTATCACCTCAGCGGCGAAGGATATCAAAACCAATGAGTTTGATCAATTTATATTCATATATCACAAACAATTGGTAGAGAGCTTAAAGCTACTTAAATACACAAAGCCACTGCCCAGTTTGAAATATTTGCACGAACAAATGTTGAAATATGGCTCTTGGGGTAGGAAAATGTTGAGATATGAACTTTGTTACTAATATTTATAATATCGATTTTCTTTGTTAGGTTTCAGCATAGCTAAGTCTATTTTGAGCGGCATTTTATTGCCATCAAATAAGGATGCCAGTTTTGAAAACTTTATGAAACCCGGACCGGAGGGAGATGCGCTCAGGCTTGCGGCGGTCAGCAATGAATATTATACGGGCGCTATGTGCGTGATCCTACCATTCTTACGAAACAAGGGTCTAATGGATTTTTAAACAACATTGAACCCTTATTTCGAAATATGTATTTTTATTCACTGTAGAGGCAATATTTTTTATGAGAAGAAAATGATGAGCGTACTAAATTGGTTCACTTCAAAAGAATTACTTACGTTGTTTGCTTTTGATTTAGTGAAGATGTAAAATTATTAAACCCTTTGGTATTATTAACTTTGTTTATTTTAAAATTATTAAAATAGGGAAAGGACGATCTAAGAAAAAAGAAAAATTAAAGCGATATATTGTTCTTTGAACGTCTTTCGAGTCGTCATATGTACCAAGGTATGGCGAATGCAAGTAAATGACTACAAAATCAGGGCTGCGTTGGTTTCGACTCCGAACGAAAATCGTCAAATCTTAAGGGTTGTATCCAATTCTGCTCTATCTACGCCTATAATAAGGAAAAGCTCCAAAATTTGTTCAAGAATATATTATCTTAAGCTAACTTAAGTATTAAGTATATCTTAATAATTTTGAGTCGGTGCCGTAGATAGCCATTTTGTCAATTAATTGAAAGCAATCTGAAAATGTTAAGCATTCACGAAGTTAAGCGCAACATCAACCCGAAACTTCCCCCGTGAGTTAGGGCAGAGAATATTTTCGATTTTCACTGAGAGCTCTTGGTCTTTTAGACCTATTCAAAGGTGATAGTAAAGATGTTCCATTGCCCGGCTATGATGAAATTCGAATTGTAATTGCTCGTCCGAAAAACAACAAAACGGTGAATTTGGTACCCCCGCAACATTTATACGACCGTAATGAACAGTTTGAAATGCTTCAAAAAACTTCTGTAGTATTTCAATGAGTTTTACACTTTGCATAAATAAAATTAAAATTATAGAAGAAAGTTCTGCGAAAAAAAATTTTATTCAAGATGCTCGAAAAAGCTCGAATTGCTCGAGCTCAAGGAAGCTTTCATTTTAGTTTGAAATACAAAAAGTGGTAAAAAATAGTTTTTGGCAAATAAAGAAAAGGAATTGACATTACATTTTTATTTCATCAATGTCTCTATTTAACATAACTGTAGCTACTTATGCAGACGACACTGCAATGGTTTCGTCACCCTTCCCTGCAATCGAGACTGCAGAAATAGTACAAAGGCAATTGAATGAACTACAAAACTGGTTTATCAAACAGTAATTCCTAGATCGAATAGTGCTAAGTATCTCGGACTGAACTTAGATAGATAAAATATTAACTTGGCGTGAACATATTAGAGTCAAAAGAAAGCAGCTCAAGATTAAAACCAGAAAAATGTATCGGCTGCTTGGCCCCAAGTTTAAACCTAGCCTTGAAAATAAAATATTTTTTTTATAAAACGATGTTGAAACCAGTGTGGACTTAAGGAATGGAAATCTAGGGTACAGCGAGTAGAACCAGTATGGATGTGGGCAAAAGGTTCAGCACAAGATATATCGAAAAACTTTACAACCATCAAAACTTACAAGCTATCTACAACCTGCTAGACAATAGCGAGGATGTACAAAGACTACAAAGACGCACCCACCAGACTTGCCAGTCAGATCCAAATAAGTACACACCTTAATTTTAGGCCCAATGGCACTTAATGCATCAACGTAAATCTAAGTCTAAGTTATAGTATAATTTGCTTAATGTCAAGCGGCAGATTGTAAATAAATGAACTAAAAAATATACCAAATATATAAAATATTAATATAATAGCATAATTTGTTGTACTATGTACCACTAACGCTAGTTACTTTCGAATTTAACGTTAGAAACAAAAGCACAAGAAGCTTACGCAATCAAAGAATTTTAAATTTATTTTGACGTTAAAGCTTTTTAAGTTAATTAGCGAGCTTTATTGCATGCGCTAGTTTTAAAAATGATTTATAAACAATTTTATATACATACCTACATGTACATATGTATGTTGAAGCATTGCGTAATTGTAAATATTTGAAAGAGCTTTCGCACACTGCAAGCTCTGGAAAGTTATCTCCTTTCTGGATTTTAGCCGGTCAACAGATTTGGTGTTCTATGTTCCGTTCCATAAAAAATGAAATGGGATAGAAACATGATACAATAATTTAGACAAGGTAGTACTATTCTCCCTTCGAAGTCAACTTTTTAGCTATCTGATGTTAAACGTGTGTCGCTTTATTCGTGCTGCCAATATTAAATAAAAATAGATTAAAAATATTGAGATTTTCAAGCTTTTCTAACTGTTTGAACATTAAAAGATCATATTGGGTACGCAAGATGTAGTCTTCAGGTGAAATCCTTTTGTTTAGTGGGTTTTCTAAAATGAAGCGGGTTTGAATAAATAAGAACGTTCTCTTATTTTATTGTATTCTATTTCGTATCTTGTAGTTAAATACAGCTTGCATTATAATAGCATATTGACGGTTACTTTAACTTAAATCCATCAAAATATCCTATTCATCCTGGCACTGCTTTCCGCGTTGCAGTAATATTTGCCGTTGATTTTCCTTTGGCCTACTATAAATTGAATGTACCCTTAAATACGCGTCTCCACATCGCCCACGCCAAAGGGTGAAGCCACCTTACGTATTGCATGGTACGTATTCCCCCTCCTAGAAGACAGTAATCTAAAGAACATTATTTTTTGTTGCTAATCAAGGGGAAGCTACGTGTCCCACGAATAACTTAAGATGCTACAGATGGAGACTTCTGTCTAGACAAAACAAATTGAACGAAAAACTTTCATGAAGATCATCTGCGTCTTCGTCGTCGGAAATATTTGAAATCGACAGCGAAATTTTGTTGTGTGGTCCAACTCGTTTGAGTCTAGTAGGTCTCTTGCAAATCAAAGCAATTATGTTATTTATTTTTATCACTTTTACTCACTTTTGCTTTTGAATTAATAAGTTGATTAATTGTTGATTTATCACAAAAAAGCTAACAAAATTATATAACGAGCTGCTCACGGCCATTGCAGCTTTTTACCATTTTTGTTTATGGCCTATAATTTTGTGAGCTCTTATGAATCCTTCAAATATTTGATTCTGACGGTTACTTATACAAAAAAATAAACCAATTTGTAATTCTTTGACTTATACATGAAGAGAGAGACAAGAGCGCATCGAAACAAATGTAAAACTGCATTTAAGTGTGGACACTTTCAAAAATCCTCAACCCCAAAGCAATCTGCATGTAAAAAGAAATTATATAAATCTCTGATCAAATGTGCACTTCTCCATGCCTAATAACATTCCCTTACTCCCGTGAAATGTTTTAGCGAATTGTGAATCGTTATTTTAGAATGAAGGCCTAATATGATAGCTAACAGTTGCACTTCATTACGTTATATATACTCGTATGTATATACATGTCAGCATATAAGCCCTCTTGTAAATTTACTCATACATGTAAGGAATACAGTAATGAAATACGATTACAGCAATAATTTTGTAGTCAAAGTTGGAAATATACAATAGAATATAGCACTTAGAAAGCAATCCCGATTGTTTGGCAGTTAAGATGTGGAGCGAGACGCTTCCACAGGTAGTAGAGCTTGCGAAGAAAGCAATGTTTTTTGCGTGGAAAAAGTATATACGAATATCGTGGAAAAATTGCCATTTTAACTGGTGATTTCTTGCCGGGTCGTTTTTAGGTTTGTATGTATTTGAATACTAATCATAATTAGAGATAAAATGATGTCAGGTTCATCATATAAAGGCTGTAACGGGAGTGAGATTTTCAAAACCCTTGTGTAAGGCAGGCGAGTCAAGTGGCACGGTTTATTAAAATAATAAATAAAATGGTACAAATTACTGAACAAGACAAAGGAGAAGCCTTGCATACACCAAATTGGCTAAATAAAGAACTTTTTCATGATATCCTGCTCAAAAACGAGCCCAACTATGCTAAAGTAGTCAATTTGACTTCCGAGATGGCGATTCCACCTGGAGAAAATTTTCTCTCGGTGATGTTACGTGTATACGTCGATCTAGACTTGAAAGGTAAGAAAGTGGTGCACGTAAAGCAGCAAATCAAATTACAGCAATGAAACCATACTTTTTGCAGATGGTTCCAGGCAACAAAATGTATATGTTGTTAAAACTATGCTGGATGACGAAAACGGCGGTGAGGATGTTAAGAAATTGAACGTTTTTCCGAAAGAACTGGATATGTATAGGAAATACATACCCGCCTTTGAAGCAATGTACAAGGCTAGAGGTTGGAATGTGCATTTAGCACCCAGCTGTCTACATATACACCGAAATGGAGATCAAATCAATTTTATCTTTGAAGACCTAAAGATGCGGGGTTTCGAAAATATTGATCGTAGGCAAGGTTGCAATATGAACGAGATGACCAGAGTACAGTGCGGCTTCAGCGGTTTATGCCGAACAAGTCGAACCTTATCCTGAGAAGTTTAAATACGGGTTTGTGCACAAAACTGATGGCTATAAAGTTCAGAAAGAACTATACAACAATCGAGTTAATGCTTACAAAAAGGCTCTTACTCTTTGGGGTCTAGAGAACGCTGATAAATATGTGGCAGCTTTTGTAAGTACTTTCATAGCTGCTTGTCACAGTAAATAACATTTCTTTTCTCTTTATGACTACTAATTTTCAGCCAACATTTGATCAGTATTGGAAGTGCATCGAAAGTAACCTCAATACTGACGGCAACATATTTAATGTGCTAAACCATGGCGATTTATGGAGCACCAACATCATGACCACACACAATCCGAACGGTTTGGTTGATGAAGTGCTTCTTATAGATTTCCAGCTGTGTAAATGGGGCAGCCCTGCGGAGGACTTACACTTTATTATCACCACTTCGACTCAGAAGGACATTCGAATCAAGGAATATGACCACTTTGTAGCCATTTATCATGAACACCTGATTCGGTGCCTGAAGTTTTTGGGTTATAAGAAACCAATACCGAAATTGCGTGAATTGCAAATGGATATGTTTAACGAGACGAACACATTTCCTGGTACAAAAATAATTATCATACGAAGATTTTGTTAAAATCGGACTAAAAAATATTTCATTTATTCATTTACTCTTTCTGGATTTAGTTTTCTACTCACTTTTCAACCACTTAATGGTCATATTATTGCCTGCGGAAAAGGATAGCAACTTCGCTGTATTAATGGGCAGCACAGAGGAATCGCATAAATTTCGTATGCGGGCGCTTCAGAATCCCTCAGTTGCGGATATCATGCGTGACTTTTGGCCCTTCTTTTACCGCCGAGGAGTTTTGCGTTTTGAAGATTTTGACAAACAAAATTAATAAATAAAGAAATAAGTAAAAAAGTAAAACAACATTCTTTTTTTTGCAACGCTTCTGAGCTTAGTCGATGCATAGTAAGGACCAAAAAGAAATGTGAAAACAGCAATAAACTGATTGTGAAATTGTTAACATGTGAGCTCACAAGATTGTGTGCATACATACATATATATGCCATATTTATTAAACAAAAGATATTCTTAAAATTCGCTTCCGTTGATAGTCAAATTTTATCACATCACACTTTGTCGTATTTAAAAACCATTAGATTTGCAATAGAAATGAGCACCCTTAATCTACGAGTAAATAAGATCATATAAAATTATAAATGTATGTAAATAAATAGTATCAGTGACAAGCTTCATTACTATTTTTGCAAATGACGTTGCATATTGTAATCATGATTAAATTTAAATATCGTATTTGCATTTGGCAGAATAAAGATAAAATTTAAATTTTTTTTACATGCCCAGCCAAGGCCGCAGGGTACACTCCCAGTGATGAGCACAAATCCTCCTAATGAAGCTCCGCAAGGTGTCGCTATTTTATAATATGTGAAGCAATCGTACCTTACGGACTCTTTGAAAGAGTGATTTCAGCATTCCAGAAAGGTTCTTTCTTCCTCTATTTGAGCTGTATATGAATTCTTCAAAATACAAAACGTTGCCAAGTAAAGTTTTCCTTTTCCTTCGAAGGTCTTATTGTCTCTTCGGGTCCTTATATTGAGATACCGTATCGTGCTGACAGGAAAGGTTCTTCACTAGAGTCCGGAATTTCTGATCGATTTGGAGATTTTGGCACAAGTGAGTCAGGACTGATCTTCGAAGGGATCTGTCAACAATAACTAAGGTTGTTTGCCTCTACAAAATCTTACTGATTTGGGTTAAATAACGGCATTTGCGGGAAGTTTTGATATTTGATTTTAAATCGAATGGTCGTGGAAGGTTTGGTGAATCTGCGACAGCGAGTCACTCAGATATAAAACAAAATATGTACATACCAGTATATACATACATACATACGAGTATGTAGGTATATGTTTCTGTTTTTTTTTTTTTTTTTGACTTTGCGCTGATAATATCAGCGAGCGTTGAAAACCCTTGCACTTCCCCTCTACGATAATCACACTTAAAAGTCCGGCAAACCATAACTTTTCTAAAGAGTTCCAAAATCAGATATCTAAGAGTTATTACCGGCCTCGCTCTCTTCGTATAATGTGCTGTATGCGCTTATGAGATGAGAGCTTCTCATGTAAATAAAGAAAACATGTGCACAACTTGTCTGCACTCACTTTCAGCGGTTTCGTTAGACAACTTAAACAATCCGCACTAACCACTAACTTGACATGAACGTATTCCTACTCATGTACAGTACATACTCATATATATATAAGGACAGGGCTATTTATCTGCGGGGAGCGGGAGAGGTATTGACTACACTGCGGCGCTTAGATACTAGTAGGTAACTACGATGAAATGCGATAAGTGATAGCAAATCAAGAACGCAATTTCGCTGCGAGCGTCTAGTTGTCGTTCAGCAGTAGGACACGAAGGAGCCCCTAACACGCCTACTGACCACCAATACACAAACATACACATACACATATTTCAACGCAACGCAGGCGTTTAGACGGGAAATGCCGGATAATAGTACTAAATTCAATCCCAGTATACAATTGGACATACCGAAATGGATAAATGCGAAATATTTTGAAAGGATTTTGCATAAAGAAAATGTAAATTTCCACAAAATATTAAAATTGACACCGATACCGGCAACACCACCCGGCGAGAACTATACCTCAATCATGATGCGTATTATAATGGATATAGAATTGAAAGGTAAATTCTCCTACATATATAGTATACTCATATACATATATATGGACATAAGGTAGTAAGTTTTAGGTTCATATACAATACATAATAGTTTTTTCATTACCATTCAGATGGATACACGCAGCAGAAATCGTATATTGTGAAAACAATGTTGGATGACGACAAGGGCGGGACACTTATCAATGCACTCAACCTGTTCCCCAAAGAAAAGCTTATGTATGAACGTATTCTGCCACAGCTGGAACAAATTTACCACGAACTCGGCAAGAAAGTCCGATTTGCGCCCCAATGCCATTGGATTGAGGAAAAGTCGAGCCGCATCACCATAGTATTGGAGGATTTAAATACAAAGAAGTTTCGCAACATTAACAGACTTAAAGGCTTTGACATGCCACACATGAAACGTGTTTTAGAGAAGCTTGCCGAGTTTCATGCGGCGAGCGTCATGTGGCATGAAAAGTATGGTGCATTTCCGGATGAGTTCCAGCGGTACTATCTACCTGCAAATTATCAAAAATCGAAATCTTATCAAACCCGTGTGCAAAGCTACAAAACAGCCATGGCGACGTGGGGTTTGGAAGATTGTGAGAAATATATAGAACGTATTGTGAGTATATTTGTATACACACACACGGTTATAAATAATAAACATTAATTATAAAAAATAACTGTAAAGGCTTAGTTATTTATTATTATTACTAATGTTTATTATTTATAACATTAGAACCTTTATGACCTTCACTTTTAGCCAAATGCTGAGCAATTTGTGAATGCCGCAATGGGATGTTTCAACTCAGATCCCAATGAGTTCAAGGTACTTAATCATGGCGACTTTTGGTCGAGTAATATCATGTTGAATTATACGTCCAGCGGCGATGTGAATCAAATACGCTTTGTGGACTTCCAATTGTGTAAATGGGGTAGTCCGGCGCAGGATCTGTGGGAACTGATCATTTGCTCGGTGGTGAGTAATCTGCGAATTTGCGAATTCGATCATTTCATACGAGTTTACCACACGCACCTGCTCAAATGTTTGAAAATATTGAATTATATGAAGCCCTTGCCGAAGTTGTACGAATTACATACCAGCATGTTGAAGTATGGCTACTGGGGTAAATAGCATTGACTTTATTGTTGTAATGTTGGCAACTATCTTTAAAAAAAATGCGTTTACTTTGTGTAGGATATAGCACTACATTCACACATTTGGTTTTGATACTACTACCTTCGGATAAGGACGCCAGTCTGTTGAAGCTGATACAGCCCGGTGAGGAGGGTGACAAGTTTCGACATAAAGCCTACACAAATCCGCTTTACGTGCGCGCTGTGTTGGATATACTGCCCTTTCTTCAAAGGCGTGGCATTTTGGACTTTCAATAATTTCCCAAGAAAATAGTCTCCTTAACAAATAAAAACGAATACTTAAATTTTTTTATAAAAAATAAACGAAGAATTGTTCGATGGTTTAAGCGCCCTGCAAAATTTGTATTTTTAAATACCATTTGACTTTTCATGCTAGTTTTTTTTAGGCCTGTATACCTTAGGTATATAAATATAATATATATGTGTGTATTGTAAATGTTTACTGTATTTCGTTTTCGTTTATAATATGAAGTTTAAATAAGAGAAAACTCAAAAATGTTAATGAAGCAAAACTTCTTAAGGGGCTCTCCAAACTGTTGGTTGCAGTAAATGAGATTTGCTCTAATTAATACTCAATTTATGTAGTTTCTTATCTAAAAAAAAGAGAATTAAGAAAACTTATCTCGGACTTCCTCATCGGCTTTTTTGGGAACTCTTATCACGTGTACATGAGTATGTGGCGATATATGAATATATATGTTTATGCAGTATGTTAACTCCCATCAAACATTTTTCTTAGAATTTTAACTTGAGTAATATTCGGCATAAATTTTGTGATAGCTCGTCGAAATCTTCTTCGTTTATACACATCATTTAGAAGAGCTTTTTGTAATGATTTCAACTTTTCTTATATGAATGTATGTACATACATACATATATGTAATTGGCGCTTTGAAACTGATGAAACATTTATCGGTCGAGCTCATTCTCCAATTTGTGGTGTGTTGGTAGTTTTCCTCCAAATGGAGGAATCTAAAGTATATTCTGGGCTGCCTCCAAACGGCGGGTTTTTGACCCGATATCGCATATCTTTAAGGTATATATTGTATGAGGAATATATAATATAGTCCTTTGACTTCCAGACCCCCAGTTTCAATATTTACTGAATTGCTTTTGGCGAATTTGTTTCCTCCAAAACCACATTTATGAACAAATCGAGAAAAAGGACCATATTTATGGGCCATATGATATATTCTGCAAATATAGATGTGTTTAGAATACCAAGTTTCACGACCATGATGCTTTTCTTAAGTATTATATTTATGACCCAAAACTTCACACATATGTATATGCACAAATCGGTTGTATGGGAGCTACAAGATATGGTATATAGCCAGTACGATGGAAAGAATCGTCCAACACTTTTCCTACCGCTCGCTGGGATATTTATTTACACACACTACTTTGCATATTTGTGAAAGCCCTGGCATAACTTTTAAGCTTTTTCAAGCTTACTAATCAATATCAGCTGTTTTCGGTGCAGAGTAAATAATTTTTTTTCCGGCACTAGTTGTTTTCAATCGAGCTGATATTTCACGCTGTGAGTGGGAGTGAGAGTAGTAAGAGATATAATAAAATATACCACCGAAGCAAGAGCGGATAGTTGATATATGCAGTAGCAAGCAAACGATAACCAGAAGCACGTGAGAGTCCAAACCAGTGTGCTCAGTTATGAGTTTGCTTGTATACAGAAAAGCAAAACAACTCTGATCGTCACTAACCCACAAGCAGCCACTCAGCTAGGCATTGACAGCGAGTTATCGCCAAGGGAGTTAATTTGAATCAGGTGACTAGCAGAAAACAATTATAAAATCAGAATCGTACTATATTTCATCCAAGTTTTTCCAATCTTAGTTTCAGTAAGGTTTGCTAGTAATTTCTCGCAGCTATGGGAACAGGTGCAAAAAACTACCAACCGCCAGATTGGATTACGGCCGAGTTCTTACAGGATGTATTGAAGGAATATTTCAAAGATGATTCACTGCAAGTGCAGGAGATTTTGGTGAAGAGTGCTTTGAGTGGTGAAAACGGCAGTGGTTTTGCCAGCGAAATGCATCGTGTAACCTTTAACTTGGCGCGGAAAGATGGTACTGGGCGCTTTTCGGTGATAATCAAAGTGAGTACTGATACATAATAAACGCCCATTATTAAGTCATGGCTGATAAGTATTTTCCACTTTTAGGATCACCCGAAGGGCTATACCGGCGTAGTAGCACACAAAAGTAAACTATTCAAACGTGAAATTCTTGCATACAAAGAAATTTTGCCCCGTGTGGAGGCGTTACTCGCTTCGATTGGCGACAAAACGAAAATTGCGCCTGCTTGCTATTACACCACCGAAACTCCAGAGCCTTTCCTTGTTCTGGAGGATATGCAGCTAACGGGCTATGAAAATTTTGAAAAATGCCGCTTACTCAATTTGGACTATACTCTGCCGACTATTGAAAGATTAGCCAAACTGCATGCCTGTAGCGCAGTTATAGCCAAGGAAACGCCAGAAGTATTAGAATTCTTCAAAGAAGCACCGATTTCGAGAAATCCAGATCGTAAGGATTTCCTATCTTTCTTCCCAGTAAATGTACGTTGTGTAGCTGAGGAGTTAACACACTGGAAGGGTTATGAGGAGATCACCGAGAAGATGTTTAAATTGGCGGAAAATGTGCTTCAAAATGCTCTAGAAATGTATGAGTCTCATGAAGAGGGCTTCCGCGTATTCAACTTGGCCGATTTATGGGTAGACAACCTCATGTTCCACATCAATAATGACACGAAAGAACCTGATGCTGCAGTAATGGTAAGAATATCATGAAATTGCAGACAAACAGAAAATATCACCGCATTAAACCGTCGCTCTTTTTGATTACAGTTGGACTTTCAATTGTCTTACTATGGCTCTCCGGCTGTGGATCTAAATTACTTCCTCTTTGGTTCGCTGAACGAAAATGTGCGCAAAGTGCATTTTAAATTCATAGTACGCGAATATCATCGCATTTTAAAGGAAACGCTGGAGAAGCTCAACTACGACGGGTATATACCCACTTTGAAGGAGACGAATATTGAGCTTATCAAGAACAGCCTACAAGGTAAGAATATAAATAGATTAATAATAAATAACTGCAAAATGCTGTGCTTCTTACGCTTGCTTTCTTACACGCCTAAAAATATGCAAATATAAAATGTAATATTTTAGGTGTCATCGCCGCCACATGCCTTACTCCGTTGATATTTATGGAAGCGACTGGAGATGAAAAATTGGAAAATCTCACATCACGCACCGAGGAAGGTGATCAGATGAGACGAACAAATGTTGAAAATCCCAAATATCGTGCATTTCTGCAGCGCACAGTGAAGGAGTTCGAGTTGTGCGGATTCCTAGACTAGAGAAAAAAATGTGCAAGTGTACACTGCTTTGTAAACAAATGTATTTTTTATGAAACTGATTTACAAACAACCTAAATAAAGTCCAAAATTACGGGCTGGTCACAAATTATGTTTATTTATTAATTAAATAGATCAAACTCTTCATTAAACTGAAACGAACCAAAATAACAACTAAAATTTCAATACAACTCGAAGTGGTCCCGGGCGTATAAGTGATATGTAGAATGTATACACATATATACACACAAACAACAGAAGCTCTTTCTTCTACTATTCTTATTTACTGCGTTTTCGGAGGATCAATAATTTCCAACCAACAAAAACTCATTTTATGGCCAGATTTTTATAATTGTTAAATTTTGTGTCTCATTGTCTAAGCCGGCAGGGCTTAGTTGGCCTTTTGTAATGCCAGACGCCGGCCAGCTTTATTGTAATCTAGAGTAGTAAGTCAATGTCAGGCAAAGTTTAATAAATCCTTAATAACCAATGTTGAAGCCTACTCTGGTCAAGTTATTGATTGATTGACATAGGCCTAATGTGAATCCACAGAAACTTCAGCCCTCAGGTTACATCCTCCATTCATTTTTATTCCCTAATGAACCTCATTAGATTCATGACTTTAACGTCTGCTATCTTCGTAGACCATCTAGCAATAGGGTCTGAAAATTACGAAACCTCGCCCTGCTCAAGCTCTGAGTTAACTCAAACGGGTTATAGCTAAGACCGGATCAAAACAAAGGAGATATTCTAATGTCTCACTCATGCCTTTTTCCTTGCACTTCCACTTAGGTACAGGTCGCCGGATCATTTCTAGGAAATAAAAGTGCGCCATTCAGGTATTTTATCCAAAAATTTATCTAAATCGAAATGGAATCTTTATTTCGTTCGAATATAAACACAATAGAATTTGAAGTAAGTTGAAATAGTTTTTTTTCCTTTAGGTAGGTCTCTCATCCAGTTCCTGGAGGGAAGAGAAGCCTTCCTGCTAATCTAAGCAAAAAGCCTTCTATGTACCAAATATCAAGATATCTTTCATTTATAAATACACGTATATAGAATATAATGTATTTAATGCCACTTTAGGAAATAGGCCTAAAATCTTATTCTTTGTATTTATAATCATTATTATTCGCAACTTTATAGTCATATTTTAAGTGGTGTTAAGAGAGCAACGGACACTTAATCAAAAGAAAGCCCCTCATTTCACACAACCAATTTTTAAACAGCTGACGTGCACTCCAGCTGTTAGATTTATCGTTGTAGAAGATAAAGTCATTAAGCTTAATGATAAAGAAGAGCAAACAACGACAATGTGTAAATTTCAATTTAAGGCTAATGGTTTTTAAATCTTTTTATGAAAAACGTAAATGTTCTGTACAGTTAGATGTACTAAGTTTTTATATAAGTAATGTCTTTTAAGAATGTTTGCTGAGACTGATGTCTGTTATCTAAGTAACGCGTGCGCCACGAGTAATCCTAAGAGGAGTTCATTCAAAGTTTTTTCGTCTAAGGGACTTTTATTGAAAACATTTTCGTTGTTATTTGCGAAATTATTTTGCACAACTCAATGCCCGTAAAGAATATCATTCTATTTCGGGGTTTCCAAACTCAAGTGACGCTCTAGCAATTTTTTTTTTGCTAAAATTATTATTATTCCTCTTCCCAATTGGCGTAGGCACCGCGTATACGATTATATACGAGTCAACACGCCACGCGAAGAAAATTCGAAGTCATGACTGTAAATACTGGCATAGGGCCAGACTAATTCGATTCGCATCTTTGTCTAATCTGGTGTTGTTGTAGAGGTTCGCAACCCCGCTGAGGAATAGGCGCGACCAGAGGAAAGCTGAGTGAAAGCTATGTGTGCTCAAAAGAACTCGATAATATTAAATTTTTAAATTAGCAGAGCTGCCAACTGTTTTGAAATTATTTATAAATAAAAATCTTCCAAACATTAGTGTGTCTATGACCGAGCTAATGAAAAATTGCGTAGCCGATTTTAATGTATTGGTGTTCAAGTGCTCTTGAAGGATATAAATCTACCATAAAGTTCATTTATTGCATTTTAAATAAATGAAATATTAATTTGGGAATCAAACTGAAGGGATTAAAGAGAAAACAATTTTAGCTGTGTGTCATCTATTCAAAAATTTAAATTTGAAAGAAAAGATTTCTCGAGGAAACTACTACTTATGTAGGTAGGTAGCGAAATAAAGGGATTTACAAAGCTAAATGGTGGGCAGGCTTTTAGAAGAGTTACCACCTGTTTCACCTGAGGGTACCAAATTAAAAAGAATTAATATAAACAATTTCAAGATTTTGCAGTATTTTTAATTTTTTTTTTTTGTTTGGTGCAGAGAAAAACGCTTTGGATTTTTAAATGAAATAAATCAATAGAAATCTATTATTATTATTAATAGTATTCTTTTTTTTTGTAACTTGTATGTATGTACATAGTTACATAACTTAAGCTTTAGGGTATTTAAGAAATTACAGTTATATCACAAAAAAATAAACAGATAAACTACTGTTCGACTTCCAGCAAGCCACGCCGCTCGTATATGGGCAACAGTTTTTTAATTACTCTCTGAACATACATATTCTTAAAACAAGTATCCTTGAAACGCGTGGCTCGCTCATCGTCCTGCATAATTGCCTTAAAATCAGCGTCCTCGGTTTCTTCGTTCCGTTGGATAGCCAAAATCACACATGTTGAGTTGAAAGCTGTCAAGAAAAAAATAATCATTAAAAATCTGCATACGAAACTCAGTTTCTCAAACTCTAAAACCAACCATAGAACGCTTTCTCTTCGAGTTGCAAGTGAAATTTGTGCAAACTGGGAATTTCGGCGCGATAGCGTAACTTGCACAGAGTATCGGCGAACGTTTGATAGTAGCACTGTATGAGTTCGTCTTGCCGATGTAAATGCATGTCCTCCTCGAGCGAGGTATTCAAGAAATAATGAAGATCAATGGCTGGCGAGCCCCACACTGCATATTGAAAGTCAATAATAATGACATCCACAGGTTCGCCAGTGATCTTATCATATTTAACCATAACATTGTTTGTCCATAAATCACCGTGAGTCAACACGTTCACATGACTTGGATTGGGATCGAATACTCTTTTGCCCAATTCGGTGTAGTTAGATTTCAAATTAGTTATCTTTTCCGCATACAACTCATAATCTTCCCACTGTCGAACGCGTCGGCTACAAGCCATTAGAAGTTGTTCAAATCCAGGCATATAGTTGTCTGTGTGTCTATTAAAAAAACCACGATCATAACCTTCGAGACAACCATTTTCGCGCTCATTCAAAACTGCAGAGGTGGCGTGCATTTTCGCCAATTTCCTCAACACCATCTTCGCCAAAGTCATATCGAGTCCAGCTAAACGGTTGGGCATGATAAATTCACGTACATTCAAGTCTTCGAAAATCAACGCGGAGCGCTCACGATCTACCGCCAGAGTCTCGGCGAAGATCTGTTCGTTGTCGTCGATTTCCCGTAGCAGCTCATTTAAGCGGGGTAAGACTTTCTCATAAACAGACATCTCACGGTTGAAAATATCATAGGGTTCCATAGTTTTCTGTACAAATTCATCGCTTTCAAAAGATGTTTTCACAATATAATGACCTGTAGCAACCGTACCCATAGAAGTTTGATAATCGGCGCGTATGCGAGTTAAGACTCCACCATAATTTTCACCTTTTCCCAACGCTGGTCGGATATTCCACCTAAGTATTTTTAATTTCCTATCTTGATGATACGCACGTAGATAATGCTCCAAATAGTCTTTGGTCAGCCAATCGGGCACATCTGAGTGCTCAAAGTTCTCATCGCATTGAGCAACGGGAGCGCTGAAGGATTCCTTCGACAACTTCAGCAAATTCTCAGTGGAACTCATTATACTTATATCAGGCGTCGACATGTTGAGCTTATCTTAAGATTTTCAATTTCTATGAAGTGATGGAAAAAACGTTTGAGCCAGTCGAGGTCTTACATTGAAATGACCGTGGCGTTAGCAAAATTATAACTTCTTATATAACTTCTTGCGTCAAGAATCGAGCCGACACGACTCAATTTTTATGAGCGCTCTGATTTATAGCGTAAAAGTATTTTTTTTTTTTTTTTTTTTGTAAAACCTCATTTGTTTGGAATATAAATATACACACATTTGTCACAATGAGCAGTAGTGTCGAGAAAGCGCAATTATTTGAGATGAATATTTGTAAAGCGTAAATTTTTGAGCGTAATTTAACATTGGAAGTACATAATTCGTCTTGACGTATACCGTGATATTGTACATACTAAAATACATTGTATATAAGTCATCTGAAATGCTAGAGAAGAACCTCGTAGAAATTTTAAGCCAATACAGCAGAGGAGAAAAATTTAAAGAAAATCGTTTGCCGATTTTTTTTGAGTAATTATTATAATATAAATAAAATAATCGAAACTAATTGATGAACGAAGACTCGAAATACACCAGAAATTCCTAGTTCCATTACTTCAAATAAACATAAAAGGTGACTATTTCTACAGAGAAACCAATTGCGAAATCGATATCAGGAGACTAAAATACAGTTGGATTTGTATGAAGAAATCAGGAATAAACTCCCTTAACTAAATGACCAATTGCAAAGGCGTGTTGTATATTCGTGAAAAGCCCGTTTTATAATTTGCTGTCGATACTCGAATGTTACGAATAGTGATGGACGGTGGCATTAGCCGAGTGGTAAGCAGTACACACTCATGGAGAGGCGCATGGTTTCGAAACTTGACCGAGACAATTTTTGATATTGATAAAAAAAATTCGCCTTCATACAAATCTATCTAACTGCTATCCGGCCAACCCTACACCCTTTAACAGTGCACAACACCGGCACGTACAACTTACGAAATGCTCAGCTACCAATTTCACCAGCTCGTCGAAGGAGCATCAGCCCGAACTCGATGTGAAAGTCGATTGCGTAAAAATTACGACTACTAACCACCTCAAAGATACTGGAAGTGCAGAAGTCACTTTTGATAGCCTGCAATCATTCCCTCCGCAATCGATTGCAATTGCCATAAAAGTATAGACCCGCAGCAAAATCATCAAATCGATAGCGGGAAGCAACTGTGGTAAAGACAAAGGAGCTTTGATCGAAACATACAAGAAAGTTGGCTGACCGGTCGTAACCGGTCGTGAATCGTAAATTACGTAAATTACCGGTTACAAAAATATCAGAGCACCGCCCTCCGGACCATGAGAATAAATTTTCAGAGGAAAAAATTAAATATCTGTACGAGTGAAAATTCGATACTCAACGAAAATCGAAAGGTTTGCATTGGACACTACAGTTTGTAATTTGATCCTCGATTTTCGACAGCCAACTAAGATGGAAGATCGTATGCAGCTTATAATAGGGATCTTAAGCTGAGTAAAATTGAGACCGACATGAAAGCGGAACTTTCCAGCTTCAAACGTTTACTCCGATTGAGTTGTGATATGTTTTTTGCTTCTCTATTTCTAACCGTCCCACCAAAGCAATTTCGTTTGGATAAGAAAGTGCCGGCCGGGTCTTTCAACCATAATATTATAAATGTATATGTACAAACGAGTATGTGTATATATATAAATATTTTTTAATTGAATGACACTTTGTATATAAATCTGTGAAAGCGCTCATGTTTCTCTAATGAAGAAATTAACCTACAAAAGTTTATTTATAGCGTAAATATTAGCTTAAATTAATCCAAACGCCGACTGTTCGTCTGTGTTCAAGAAAAGTTTATTGTCCTATTATCCAATCCGCAAAGTAATAAAGAAGCAGTAAGTGGATTTAGATGCTTTGTGCTCTTACACTAGAACGTGATCTCAACCCTTAAAATTCGTATATAACGGTTTTCACATAACTTAAGAATAAATTTTTGAATTTTTTGTTTAAAACGTAATTTCGTTTATTGTTACTCAGAGCTGTATGTTACACTCGTATTTAATAAATACATAAATATTTATACGTGACGAAAAACTTTTTGCTAAATATTGTATATATAAAAATATATACTCGTATGTACATACCTAAATTTTTTCAAATCTGTGCATGAGAGAATGTTGTCTGTGAAATTAGCAAAAAATATGGCAAATTTTCCTAAGCGAGCAGTAAAATCAGCAAATATTATAGCAACAAATTCCTAGTCAAATATTAACACCCACTTGATGCCAGTTGATGCCAGAAGTGTTAAACAAACTTTGCATTTCAGAGGCGTTGTCGTTTGCAGTTGCGTTTCGGCTTACAGCTGCGTAGTATATAAAGACGCAGCATACATTCGCGGCGTTTGTAAAAGCAAAATTTACCGTTTTAGACACTTCACCACATTCGATAGAGAGGAAAATAATAGTCAAGCAATATGGATGCGCCGGAATGGTTAAGTGAGAATTATATACAGGAAGCATTACGAGTGCACCATAAAGATCCTGGCCTGCATTTAAGGTCGATGCACGTCCAGCCGGCTATGGGTAAGGGTGAGAATTACGGCGGTGTTTTGACGCGTGTCAAAGCTAAATATCAACTAAGCCGAAATCAGCAGCGATTGGAGAAGTGTATGATTGTGAAGACCTCTTTCGAGGATGATCCCGTTGCTAGCGCTATAATGGCACCCTACGATGTGTTCAATCGTGAAATGCAGATATATGAGGAAGTGCTACCAAAATTAAGCGAACTGCTTCGTGAGATTGACGACACAGATGAGCTTTTTGCAACGGCCATACATGTGGATTACAAGCGTCAACTTTTGATATTCGAGGATCTCAGCGAGCGTGGCTTTGTCATGGCGAATCGGTTGCATGGGCTCGATATGCCACATGTTAAACTGATTCTGCGGAAGCTGGCTAAAATGCATGCCACATCGGCGGTCTGGAATGAGCGGCAGAATGGTTGTCTGGAAAAGTACGATCGTGGATTTTTTAACCGTTACACAGATAATTACAGTCCATATTTTGTTGGATCTCTCTTGGCATGCGCCGAATATGTTTTGAAAAATATGCCCGACTATCGTTTTTATGCGGATAAATTGAAGGCATTGGCGCCCCATTATATGGAAATCGGTAAACGTTGTTTTGCCGTCACACCGGGACAGGTGAATGTGTTTGCGCATGGCGATATGTGGGTTAATAACGTTATGATCAAATATGATCCAAAAACAAGCGAACCCGTAGATGTGCGTCTCATAGACTTCCAGTATTCGTTTTGGGGCTCGCCAACTTTAGATCTGCATCACCTCTTCAACACATCTTTGCAAGAGCCACTGCGCCTCGCCAAGCAGGACATACTCTTCCAGTATTATCATGGTATTTTCAGTGATGTTTTGAAAAGGCTAAATTATGGCGCGCATCCAGTGCCTACGCTGCACATGTTTCGCCAAGAAGTGGAGCAGAAGCGATTTTTCGGTAATTCTTGAAATAAATATCTCAAATTACATACATACATAGTACATGCAGATTTAAATAACATTTGGTTGTAATCTTTTCGCTTTCAGCTTTTCACTCCGCCTGTGTGATACAGCCGGTGATGATTAATGAAGATACAGCTGACGCAGATTTCAACTCGTTGATGGGAGAGGACGAGCGGGGACTAAAGTTTAAGTACAGCGTTTACTGCAATAGCCGAGTACAGAAGAATCTTTCGAATTTACTACCGCTATTTAATAGGCGTGGCCTTTTGGACGTTAATCAAGCGGACTAATTGTATTGAGTATTGTTTAGCTGACGTAAAGGCACATATGGGATAAGCCCAAAAGAACGAACCAATTTATCTATGTTCATGGATACCAGTTTTCCTAACGTTGCAGTGCACCTAATCTTGATGGGAACAGAAATTCAGATACTGCTTTGTGCTTAACTGCTGCGAAGTTACCGATAACTGGTCCATAAGAAAATTTGAAAATCGTTTTTCAGTTTTCATGATTATTTAAAAAAAAAAAATATGGAACCTCTAATTCGAAAACTTTAACAATTATCAAGTACAGAATAAAGATATATCTCTTTTAGATACCAAAAACGGTAATTTCATTTAAAAAATTTTTTAGTTACACCAGTTTGGGCCACCCTATTGTGAGTTTTTCGAAATAACAGTAAGTTTAGTTCATCTCGCCTCGTAATCCTACTCTCTGATACAAAAATATGTGTGACTAACGTACTCACGCCAGAGAAACAATTCGTTTTCGGCAAGACCAGGAAGGAAGAGCTGCAACACCCGTTGAGAGCATCCATAAATCACATGGTCTTATTTCAGCCCCACACAACCCCCTCCCTCTCTTCATGTAGCTTAATGCAGACTTTCCTGTGACTTTTCCCATCTGTCCGATAGATCGTTATTTCGCTGCGCATTTTTAAATTATTTATCAAGTAGAATTTATAACATTATATATAATGTAATATAATAAATATTTGTTAACTATCTATAAATATTTCTTATTTTTCGAATTATGACTTTATAATTTATTCTAATATACTAAGGTATGTATGACAAAAACAATATTTTATTTAACAAAACTTTCATCTGAAGAAAAACTACGTGGCTTGTCCTCCTCCTCCTACTCCCACTCCCGTTACGTAGATGAGCTTAGCAGAAAGCTAAGAAAAATTTTGTTCAGATATGAGCTCTCTTTGGTTCATGACAAACAAAATTGTCGCATTGGGAGTGATGATAATCCACCAGCCGTTGTTGAGGCGCAATTACATCCCAGTCACGGTTTGGTGTCTTCTATGGACAAAGGGATTCAGAGGTTCATATTTCTTAAAAATGAAGTCTTCCACAATGTTGCAGCTTATGGGGAACTCGATAGAGGCATGATTAATGACTTTTTCGTTCCTGAATTGGAGAATGTTAATGTGGACAACTTTTCGTTTCTACAAGATGGCTCTTCATGCTATACACCCAACGAAACAATCAATTATAGAAGGAAACTTTTTGTTATCGCATTATCGTGCGCTTTAAACACCGTTGAACTATTTTTTGTGAACTTAAGTGAAGTCGCTTGCCCACGAAATACTCCCGAGACGGCTGATGTCTTGGAAGATAATATTGCTGGCATTATAAAGAGTGGTCGAAAAGCACTTTTCACATATTTACCTAAAGCTTTCATTGCATTCCTAAAAACTATAATAATTTAAAAATAAAATTATTTTAAATTTACAACATCCCTACTTTGTATACGAGGTGTGTTCAAAAAGCATCGCTAATTTTGAATTTTCGCGGGTTACGTTTAATCGAATTTCGATTTTTTTGTGGCGTCATGTTGGTACTCTTGTCGGTCGCTTATGCCGACAAGCTGGGACATTTTGAATGTTCAGTTAATTGTTGACAGCTGCTTTGCTTGCACGTGTTTTGGATGGTTTTCGATTTTAACTATTCAAAAAAATGGATCAAAGAACCTGTATCAAATTTTGTGTGAAAAACGAAATTAAGTGGGCGGATGCATTCCGAATGTTGACTGTGGCATACGGAGAAGCTACCTTGAGCCGCAGCAACGTTTATCGGCCGGACGTTCGAGCACTTAAACAACAGACGAAAAAATTAATGAAGTGGAGAAAATGGCATTGCCACAGGGAAGAACGGTCAATAAGGAATATCACCTGCAAGTTATGCGCTATTTACGCGAAGCAATCCGCCAGAAACGCCCGGATTTGTGGAAGAACAAAAATTGGCTTTTGCACCACGATAACGCCCCTGCTCACACATCGTTGCTTGTACGCGAAGAGGCCCATGAAAGGACGACGTTACGCTACGATTGACAAGATAAAGACGGCATCGAAGGAGGAGCTGAACAAGATAAAAAAATGATTTTTTGAAGTGCTTCGAAGATTAGAAAAACCGTTGGCACAAGTGTATAATATCTCATGGGGATTACTTTGAATAAATAATTTTTGAAAAAACACGAAATTCGCGATATTTTTTGAACACATCTCGTATATGTAATTCGTGCACTGATATTGATGCTCGCAATGCTTGGTTTTGAATAACGGTCGAATATTCGAAGTATCGAGAGAAGCAAGTTATCCATTAGTTGCTACCTCTCTCCGATGGCTTTGCATGCTCATTTACTACCGTATTAATCATTTAAACTTATTTCGACACAAACTAATTAGAGGTTTAAGTGCAAAAATGTGCTTTTTGTTTATTAGTTATTTTTATGCATCTCAAAACATATTTCATTTAAGCATTTGTATATGCAATAAACATTCGAATCGATTCCGGCAATAAAGACCAACTTTGACTTGCAATGTTTATTACGCCTATTTCATTCCCTCCAAATTCTTCATTACTCTCACTACATTGTAATTTCACAATGTGCTCTAATACATATGTACAAACATATCTACATTAAGGTAGCCAAATATGTTCCTAGAGTGAAATGAACTTTCGCATCTACAATAGAACAAGCGTTTTCAGGGCGCTCAAAAAATTCAAAAATATTGTCCCTCTGAAGTACTGACATTTTCTCATCTTTCTGGCGATTTGTAGATTCCATTCCAAAATAACTGGCAGCCAATAATGAATGAAAGCAACTTCCGATATCCCATAAGGATACGAACCGTATTTCGGTGAGGGCATTCGAGCTCAACGGGAACAATTGGTAGTCAGAAGGAGGCAATATTTGGGACGGAAGATAGTTGAGACAAATCTTCTCATCTGCTGTTTCCCAAATGGTTTTTACACGTAGCTGGTATTCGCACATCATACTTCGTATCTGGCCGCAAATTCCATGCGTTTTCCTTGATGTTTTTCCAACAAATGGAGGGACCTACAGTTAATACTAAGCAGCCTCCGATCGGCTGATGGTTTTTTTTTACGAGGAGCCTTTATTTCATGTCCGAAATACACTCGGAGGGTTGGATATTCCCTGCGAAGGGGCGACCGCCATTGGATAATTTAACTTAACTTTTTATTTAAATTCATTTTCCATTGAGTGATTTTGGAACTGCCTGCTTTAGTAATTTCCGAAGATTCTGCGAGTTCTTCCTTCGTTTGGCAGCAATCTTAATCGAGTAATGCTTCAACCTTTTTTGACTGGTCGGACATTCTTCGGCTTTCATGCCAAAACCACCACTTTTAAATCGTTCAAACCACTTTTGACATATTCGCTCAGCTAAAGCTTGTTTACCAAAAAATTTCCACCAAAGTACGATGATTATCGGCAGCAGTTTTTTCTTATTAATGAACGATTAAACTCCCCTCAAAACACTTTTTCATGCACAAGAGGAGATGTGTGCGGCTGCTATTTTCACGGAAATTTTCCAAGCCTTGACGCATGGTGGATGTATGAGGTCTAAAGCAACACTGAATAGGTCTGATCAGTTTTCTGCAAGTAGGCTTTAATCTTTCACACAACACGCTCGATAGGATCTCATCATTTGTATCAATTGGACAGAGCACACTTACACGTAGGTTCCAATTTTCTGCAAAGAAGCTGATGCATGCACCTTGTCAGTTCTTCGACGCCGTTCCTAGGTAAATTCTACATTTAAAATATTCAAATAATTTCGTAAGATATAAAAAAAAAAATGAAGTGAAAACTGTTATTCGAAAAACAATTTCTACGAAAATGATTTATGAGAGCATAAATTACTTTCTCATTACGCCCATACTTTTGCTAACAGAGAGTGTTGCAGCTAAGGTTCACCTTAATGTGCTCATAATAATAAAAATACTATCTCAGGAAATTACAAAACTTATCTTTTAAAATATTATTATATATATTAATTGTAACACACTTTTGTTAGAGTTAGAATGTATTCGCAATGTCATTGCCGAGATTCACACACACACAAGCACATTACGACAATAGAGCAATTTTAATTCCCAACAACCGAGATCGACATAAATACCTGTAAGTGCGGTGAACGGTGGCTATATAAAACAGCGTCTGATTAAAGAACGCTTTTAGAAAATCGGAAGAGCTCATTGAGTGTAGACCAGAAAAAGTAGCTTTTTGATTCGATTTGATTGATAAAATGAAAGACACACAATTTCACACCGCGCCACTTTGGCTAACCACTGAATACCTGGAACCAGTTTTACGGAAATACAAAAAGGACGAGGGTCTTATTATCACAAAACTGGTAATCAAGCCCGCCACAGCCAAGGGTGATAACTATGCCAGTGTAATGACGCGCATCGGCGTTGATTTTATATTAAGTACCAAGGAAGCCGAACACGCTTCGTATATCGTGAAGACGTCTCATGAAAGTGATCCTTTCACCGCAGGCATCATGAGTAAATATGACATTTATAAAACGGAGATGTTAATGTATGAGCGGATACTACCAAAACTAACTGAGCTGTTAAAGGAAATCGGCGATGGCGACAAGCTCTTTGCCGACACCATCCATGTGGACTATGAACATTCAGCTATAATTTTTGAAGATTTGGCGAGACTTAATTTCGTCATACCCGATCGGCTGGCTGGCATGAATGAGGCGCAGGCTATGATAACGCTAAAGAAGTTAGCCAAAATGCATGCTACTGCTGCTGTGCTGGACGAGCGTATGCCCGGTGTCTTAACCAAATTGCAAAGGGGCATCTTCAATCGTACAACAAAAGGGTTCGCACCATTTTTCGAAGGAGTATTCGAAGCGTGTGCAGATTTTGCTGTCGAATGTCCGGCGTTGGGTGCCTATTACAAAAACAAATTAATGAAACTAAAATCGCATGTGATGGAATATGGTACACGTTCTTTCGATGCTTATAACGGTGACTTCTTAACACTCACACATGGCGATATGTGGACGAACAATGTAATGTTGCGTTATGGCAATGGCAGTGACGGCCAGTTGCAAATTAAGGATATACTGCTAATCGATTTCCAATTCAGTGCATGGACCTCCCCAGCGCTCGATTTACACTATTTTTTTCATACTTCACTAACGTTAGATTTTAAGCTACACCGAGAGGACGAACTAGTACAGTATTACCACGGGTTTTTGGCTGAAACCTTGCGCCAGCTTAACTATGAGGGACACATACCTTCCTTACATGAGTTCTGTGTACAAATGGAGTTGCATCGCTTTTATGGTATGAAAATTTATATTAAACCTTAAACGAGAATATTCCATTACATAGCTGAAATCCTCTCTTTTACAGCTGTTGCTTCGTCAATCGCTTGCCAGGCTTTGCTCATTAATGACCAAACCGATGAAGCTGATTTCAACACCTTGATGGGATCCGATGATCGTTCTTATAAATTTCGCCATTTATTGTACAAAAATAAAAGAACACAAGAGAGTGCTATAGCTCTGCTGCCGTACTTTGATCGAAAGGGACTACTCGATGTAAGCGATTAGACAATTGAAATCAACAACCATCAACTGCTTATGCAATTACATAATATGTGAAAGTAATAAACTGAAATGTGATATAAACAATAATGCTTTGTGAAATCTGGTTTAAAATAAACACAATGTAGTCTCGTAACTCTTTCTACCAAAAATGAGAACCGATTTACAAATCTACGCGTAGACTCGACTAAAATTCTTTCAGTGGATAAAATATGCTTACAGCACTGCGGAGAAAAATTAATTGATAAAAAACCATTTAGTTTAGATCAACCTTCTTTATAACAGTTTTGAGACAAGCAGCTTCATTTTTTCCATCTAAAATGTAATGGTGAATTGGAAGTTTTTTGGAAGTTTTAATATCTTTAAATTCACCACATCTTTTTCCTTATCATATTATTAAAATTGGATTTATATATTTATAATATATACATTTGTATAAGTCTCTGAAAATATAGAGTCTTCTGATAAAAATCCACTGGCTTGAGAACATCGTATTTATTTACGTATATAAAATCTACATACATACATATGTGAATATGTTCACAAGTGGCACTTAATATTCGATAATGCGATTACCTTGAACTACTGTCTAAACCGTCTTCGGACGCTTGATGGATTTCTATGAAGACAGTTTTTATTTGAGAACTACTTTTGGAAGGATTGTCGATTCCTTCCGTAGGCTAACCGGAATAAGAAAAATTAATTTTCCATAATTGAATTTTGTTCTAGACGTGCGCCTCCTTATGGTAGATCGTACTGCCAACCAACAATCACATGTGGTTTTCAAGTAGAAATAAAAGACTAATAATTAAATGTTGTGGCCAAGAAATTCTAAAGCTAATTAAGGGTTAGCCATTATGTTCTAAAATTTATTTCGAGCATGTGGCCGCCGCGGCTGGCTCGGAATTTATTCGAGGGGACCAATTTTCGACCACTTTTTGCAGCGATTGGGCGTTATGTCAGCAATAACGTATGAGATCTTCATAAAATGTATGACCACAGCTTCAATTTTCCTCTTCCACACTCTGCTCAACAACAGCAACTGCGCGGCATATCTGAAGATGCGTATTATCCACTAAAGTATGTACGTGGTGCGAAATCGATAATTGGCGGCTTTGAACTACGGACCCTGCTGGGCGATTATGACGATCCAACAATGGACGCAGCAGTTGAATGTGCCGCGCGAACTTTTGTTTGAGGGTTCAGCTTTTACACTCAGCGTAAATAATGAAATCCTTAGAACGGTCAACTGAATTCCTAATAGCAAAAGTTGTGAACACTGGTTGGGATTTTATATATTCGCGTTTGATTTTGCCTGAAAAGAAATAGAAAAATCGTATAGACTCAGCCTTTGTTCACTGTATGCGAGTAAGTCCTTTATAAGCTTGCCAGAAACTTCTTCAGAATCCGCAAAAATCAAAGTGAGAATTATTCTTAAAAGTGTAAATCGTTTAGCCTCATGAAGCCCACTCTGTATGTACATACATTTGTATGCATTGCGTTATATTTTATTACTGACTGGTTTGTTCCAAAAATATGGAAATGCTTTAGATAATGCCAGTTAGCCCTATTCAAGGTTATTTCAACGGTAACACACAAGATACAATATGCTCTTTACGGATTCAGATCAGACTGAAGAAATAGTGGATTTTTAGCGCAAGGTCAATTTAAATTTTTGCTGAAGAATATTGTAAAAAACTTTAAGCGAGTTAAGTTTAAATATTTGGCGCCAACTGTTGTGCTGAAAGCTTTTTGTTTCTGTATCCCGGCAGAAGCAAATTTCTTTGTGGAAATTCTTAAGTGGAAATACAGTTTTTTGATTTATGAATATTAAATATGACGCCCATAAAATTGTACAAATATACATACATACATATGTACATTCAAGCATACCACATAAGATAGCTCGCTTCATTACTTCTATTTTTAATTCTTTTTTCTTGTGTAAACAAGTTAATTTACTGGCGGATCTAGTAATTTCATCACAACCCACGTGGCAAAAGTGTTTGTATTGTTTATCTATTAACAGTACTATCTAATAATATATTTATATCTTTTTGCCCACTTATGTTCACTTGTACATACAAACCTATTGTATTTACTTGCCGTGAGAAAAAGTACATTAAATAGCAAAAATGTCACTAAAACTGATTTTACATTACTTGCAACTAAAAAAAGTAGCATTGCGTACTACCACGGTGCGACCAACATTCGCAATAAAATTTTTTTATTACGGTCGCCCGTCGGAAGGGAATGTCAAGCCTTCAAAGCGTATTTATGATATGAAAAGCAAAGCTCCTCATAAAAATCCATCGGCCGTCCTTATATAATTGACAAAATGTCTAGACGTTCACCTCAAATTGGAGGAGAGCTCGTCCAAAAGTCGCTTCAGCGGTTACAAAGCGCCAGTTATAATTCTAATTATATCAAAATATTTCAGTGCATTCATACAACTCTTTGTCTCATTCCTTAAAATGATAAATCTTGAAAATCGCAGTATTACTAATGCCTGTTGGCTGGGAAACCAAACGCTGAGCAGCTGAAAACGAGTCCTTTTCTTTGTCATCGGGCTGTAGAGAATTATACGAGCTACAGAGCTGAACAGAGAAGCTATAACCTTCTTCTATGAGAATGTGCAACACGCCGTGCGATCTGCTTTCTCCAGACCGGACTGAAAGGGAACGAAAGCAAGACGAAATATCTCCTGATATCAAACCAGCAAACATCGCAATCGCGCATCGGCTATATAATAATAAATAATATAATATTTTTTTTTCTAAAACAGCAAATATCATGACATACACAACACATTCTTATAAATAATTTAGTTTTATGGAAGTAGCTTACGGTAGACAATGCGCTTGAAATCCCACCATACAGAATTGTTATTTTGCTAATGACACTCAGTGTATGAATGAAAGTTGTAAACATTCTAGTCTGTACGGCAGTTTACGATAATGCAATTCGCCAAATCACTACTTCATGCAGTTCACGTCATTGTTACGACACAGAGACGTTACAAAGCCTGTGATCGGTTGAGGTGAACGGAGGTTGGGAGGGAAGATACAAGTCGGTAAAGAGAATGAGAAAGAGCTCCGTTCGTGTATGGACTCTCAAGAGTTGCGCGAAAATATTTAAGCCTTGGCGCTAATTTTAGCAGAAAATTTTCATGCCAATTTTTACTGTGGATAAAATAGAATTACAAATTAATAGCGGTGTAAAAGTGTGGTCCTCCAATGCGTCAATTGAAGCGGGCTTGTCTATATAGACATTAAACTTAACATAGCCCCACAAAAAATAGTGAAAGGGCGTTAAATGGCGGGATCTAAGCGGCCAATTGACCGGTCCCGAACGTGAAATAAAATGTTCACCGAACTCACCTCTCACTCTCTTGTTGAAACCACATGTCGTGAAAGTCAAGCTCTTGCATCTTGGACAAAAAAAGTTTGATATCATCTCACGGTAGCGCTCACACGGTGGCGCTACGACTCGCATCATCTTTGAAGAAGTTCGGTCCAATGATGCCACCCATAAACCCCACCAAGCTGGGACTTTTTCTGGATGCATTGGTAGCTCTTGCAATACTTCTGGCTGATCTTCACTCCAAAATCGACAATTCTGCTTATTTACGCACCCATTAAGCCAAAAATGAGCCTCGAAGCGCGCGATGAACTCTCTTAATAGAGCACGCATTTTGATAATAAAATTCAGTAATTTGCAAGTGATGTCCGTTTGTGAGACGAGTCATGGTTAAATTATAGACCTGAAGATGTTTAAACCATTGTTGTCAAAAAGATAATAGCTAAAAAAATCACCCTTTAGTACATTTCTTATCTTTCTTATCAATACAATTAATTACTGATACAGCCGATAATGCAAACAGCGAACAAAAAAAAATGGAGTATTGATTAATAAGTGAGAGCATATGCTATATATACACAAGAGCATACATAGATAGCGCAAGAACCCTGCAGAGAAAAATACTGGTTATTAATCTGAGTACAACTAGTTACACTAAGTAGTTTGCCTTCCATTTACCTGTCACTGGTATTTTTAACATGCCGATGTCCTGATGCATGGAGCGTTTTTACGTTCGTGGAATGAGAGAGTTGCAGAGGTGTAATTAGGACCTTTAGGATCGAAACATGTTCAGTGACTCATAATTAGTGTAACTACGAGGTGTCATTACTATTAGGGAAATAGGGCCAAATCGAATATCGAGCCACTACAAAGTTCTGCTCTGGTCTCCGCGAAAACAACAGCGCGCAGAGTCTTTTAAACCTCCGTAATGAGGAGAAAGATGGTGTATTGAGCCAGTTCATCATTACGATCCCGAGTCGAAACAACACTACAAGCAGTAGCATAAAAATAGCACATTACCTCTCAAGAAATTAAAAGTGTCACAATCAGCTGGGAAAGTCTGGACTACGGACTTTTGAGAATACTGTGCTTCATTATTAGAACTACTAAAATAATCCGCCCGTGCACAATAGCCGCATTGCCTTGGCTCTCTTGCATAATGCTGGCTTTGACATTTGATTATTACCTGTTACCAGAAATGAAAAAAGAGCTGAGCCGTCAGTTTTGGCGTATTTTAGAAATAAGAAGCAAACCTTTTATGTGGTTTCAATCAATTAATTGAAAGGTGCGAAAATTATATCCATCTTGCATGTGGTATTTCCACCCGTCACCCTCTCTTCCCTGCGCACTTCAACAGAGCGTAACTGAAATTAAATCTCATCTGTAGGGGTGGTAGAAGTGGTTATTATCCCCGCTACTGGTGAACTGCTATGCAAATAAAAAACTGGTATAATTTCATATGTGATCCCACCAGTCTACCTTCGGTGAAGTTATACTCCGAATATGGGTTGGCGAGTACACTCCTTCGTTTATAAAAGTGTAAGCCACTTACTCGTAGTTAATTAAGCTATATACGTGTATTATATTAACTAATTTTGGGCGATACCATTTTCATTAGTATCAAATGCAATAAAAGATTTAAATAGAGTATGAATTAAAAACAAGCAAGACCTGGGCATTTTCGGCAGAGGAAAACTATTCTAAATAACTTTTTAACCTGAGTGCGTTTTTCATTCATCAGACCGTGTGTGTGTATGTACATAGGTATGTGTATAAATACTATCATGTGGAATCCGTTAGAAACCAGTGAAATCTGTAATAAAAGAATTGCAATATGGTTTGGTACTTTACCTTGACTTGTACTCATAGAAAAGTGTTTGTTACTCTATAAACACACAAACGAAATAATTGGAAAATGATAATTGCTGACAATGAAAGGTACACATAACAGACACGTCATTCAAATAAGATATTCTAGTAGGTGTATACAAATGTACATATGTATGTACGGCTGCACGATCGTAAAATGCAATATAAAATGTTGACGTTTTTTGACAAGGTTAATCTTAAATGCAACAAAACACTTCACTAATTTTATGGTACATATATGTATATATATAAGTATGTCGGAACTTTATGAGTTCAAGCGGCTGCGGCCTGAAACGATATAGAAAATTAGTTTAAATAAAAAATTAAGCTAAATTTTGTAATTGCAGTCGCCCCTCGGCAGGAAATGTTAACCGCTCCGAATGTATTGCCGACATGAAATAAAGTTCCTCATAGAAAAACCATCAACCGTACGAGGACGGCAAAGAATAAATTGTAGGTCCTTCTATTTGTTGGAAAAAGATCAAGACGCAAAATCACAAATTAAAGGAGGAGTTCGGCCGAAAATCGCTTCAGCGGTTACAAAACGCCAATTATAGCTAATTATTTGTGTATGTACGTATGTATAAGTGTCATATATATTTTTTTGTTAGGATAGAAGCCCATGGAAGGCTTCAAGTTTAATTTCAACTTACATTACACACACATTACCACACATTTTTCCTTAGGGGCATATACAACTTCAAAGTTATGACTGTCAACAGTGACGTAGAAGCCAAATCTGACAGTAGATATTTGGTCGTGCCATCGTTCACCCTTCGTTTACTTATCTAAAGCAGAACTCAACAAACAATGATGTCCGCCAGCAGTTGTACACTCCCTTGTACTTCCTCTATTGTGCTCTGCAGTTTGTCATACAATAAGGAGACATCTGGTCTGAAACCTCGTTTGTTATCGAAAATCTGGGAGAGATCCTTCATGACTCTCATAGTGTTTTTAGTGCTGCTTAATGTCAGCTTACACCACATATAAGTTTTGCAGGAAACCAAGTTCGGACATGGTTCGTAGAGACGCTCCTTTTGGTGATGCCGAAGGCTGCTTAGTTGGTTGGTTGGTCGAGCCAAGACTCGAACCCTCGCCTTCCGAATGGCAATCCGGCAAGCTCGCCGGTCGGCCACCGCGGCCACCATTTTCTTTGTTATCTTTTTATTACTTAAATTAATGCCTTTGCAAATAAAGTTTTACAAATGAAATGCGAGATTTGAGATGAGAGAATTTTTATACTCATGTATATGTACATAGATTAGTATGTAATTATTCCAAAACAAATCCTTCGAAATTAAGAGTTGTGATTATAATTTTTATGGTGTGCTGATTACAAATTCAAAGCCGTCAGAGTCTGCTTTAAATTAAAACATTAATGCACATACATACAAACGCGTTGGGCCATAAAAGTTGCAACAGCTGTGATGTATTTAAAATAGAATACATTTGAAACAATTCAAATACCGCCGAGCAATTAAGGCGTTCACATCATATTATTCGTATTTCCTAAGAAAATGAGCATAGAATGTTATAACCTTGAGCCCGCTTGGCTGACGAAGGAGTACCTGGAAACAGTGCTTCGTAAGTACAAGAATGACGGAGGACTTCAAATCGTGCACCTGGACATTCAGCCCGCTTCAGCCAAGGGTAATAACTATGCTAGCGTTATGACACGCCTTAAAATCAAAATGCACTTGAGTAACAACTCCATCGTAGATGATTCCTACGTCCTGAAGAGTTCCATAGAATCCGATGCCTTTTCCGCAGAGGTCATTAAGGACTATGATCTATTCAACACTGAAATGTTTATGTACGACAAAGTTTTACCGAAGTTATCTGCGCTGCTAAAAGAAATTGGTGATTGTGATAAGATTTTCGCGGACACAATATTTGTGGACTACGAGCACTCAGCCATCCTACTGGAAGATTTAGCTGTGCTGCATTGCGCAATTGGAAATCGCATTGCGGGTATGAATGAATTGGAGACAAAGGCCACTCTAAGGTCATTGGCCAAGATGCATGCGGCTGGCGCGGTACTTAATGAACGTATGCCCGACGTGCTGACTAAATTGAATTTGGGTTTTTTTCATCGCTCAACAAAAGGACTTGCGCCATACTTCGAGGGTCTCTTTGAGGTCTGTGCCAATTTTGCAGGCGAGTGTGAATCATTGGGTCCATATTATAGAGACAAAATGTTGCAATTAAAACCATATGTCATGGAGTTCAACAGAAAGTCCCACGAGCCACCAGAAAGTTACTTTCAGACATTACTGCACGGTGATCTTTGGACTACTAACATTTTATTAAGGGACCGTGGTGAGCAACTTAAGAACGCCATTCTTATCGATTTTCAGTTCAGCATTTGGTCAACGCCCGCTGTGGATCTACATTATTTCTTCAATACATCGCTGCCAAATGAATTGCGCATAGACCGGCAGGATGAGTTAGTAAAGTGTTACTACGATGTTTTGGCAGATGCTTTGGAGCGGCTTAATTACGGTGGCCGCACACCCAGTTTACACGACATCTGCATTCAAATGGAAGCCGGTCGTTTCTATGGTAACTAATGTGAAGTACAAAAAATTGAGTATAAAATTATAAAGCAGACTCCATTTCTGTTTCAGCTCTTAGTTCTACTGTGGTCAACCAATCTGCGATGATCAATGAAAAGACAGATGATGCGGAATTAAAAAATCTTATCGGTACCGACGAAACAGCGTCTAAATTCAGGGCGACTTTATATACGAACAAGAAGGTTCAAGAGAATATCAAAAATCTCTTACCGTACTTTGACCGAAAAGGATTGCTGGATATTGCTTAAAATAGTTCAAAAATATTAATTAATTAATAGAAATTTACATTTATATTTATGGAAAGTCAAATTAATGTCGTTTAATTTTTATATGTGTATGTTTTTCGAGTTGGAACTACGTGATTCGAGGCGACTGAGACTATAAAAAATTCGAAATTCTGAAATGTTGTTAAAGAAAAAAACACCATAGTCTTTTAAAGAACGAGTTGTGGCTGTTAGAATCACAAGTTTTGCAATGGTTTTCAACAATTTCAACGCATTGTCCGATAAAGCAAAACAATTTTGGTTTGGCAGTTGCCAAAAAACAGGCCTGTGCTTCTGAAACCACGAAATGGAGAACCTTTATATAAAGTTGTCGTTATCATAATTACGTACATAGTTCAGTCACAATTTACAAATAGAAGATTAAAGTGGGCTATTTACGCTGAAAGCCTGTTGAACAACGGAGGGATTTCAAAACTGAGAAGATGAAGTTTCCCTCTCATAATGATCATAAATACCGATCCGCACAATTATTGTTCAATTCTCGACATAATCTTCAGCTCCGTAAACGAAAAAAAGTGCACAAAAGTGTAAATTTTTAGTACTGTTCCATCGTCATCGCTTGGTTTTTCGGGCTCACCATCTTCTGATATTCCATATTCACTGCTATTTAGCCGGCTGGAGAAGTGCTCCCTTCATAAATTCAATATACTAGGTTTGCTTGATTATCTTTTTGTGTACTTCAGGAGTCTGCCCCGGTCTTGAAATTTTCCGTAAGTCGCCGTATCTTTTTGTAGGATTTTCGAGCCAGCTTCTCAAACTTCTCGTACTCACGCATTTCTGCCTCTTTCTTTTTCCCCTGCAAATGTGTCTTGCTTCCCTCTTCAGCTCTCTGGATCTATCCCACCCCGCACATGTTGTCACGGTCGCAAGGTTGCGAGGTAGGCAGTCTGTTTTTTCTCCACCGCGACACGACAATCCTCATCGTATCAGCTGTTATTACGACCTTCCCGTAATCCTACTTTCGTTTGCAGCTGTACGTAGGGAGTTTGAAATGCTTTCCCACAGATACCGTGTACCAAGTTGCTGATAAGTGCTCTCAGAGAGCAGGAGTGCAAGCCAGCAGTCTGTTGTGTTTGCAGCTTTTCGACGTCGAACTTTCCTGATGTTTGTTGACGGCTGTTCTTCGATACACATAGGAGCAGGTGCATCCTCGCTGCAACAAGATAGTGCTCCGAGCCGATGTTGGGTCCTCGAAGTGTATGCACGCCAAGAACACCGGAGACACACAACATGATCGATCTGGTTTTGTGTTTTACGATCCGGTGACAGCCAAGTAGATGTAGTTTTTGGATTGGAATTCAGTTTGCAACATTACATTATCGGAATAATTGGCTGTTTCGAGCTGTTTCGACGGGGTTGAACCAAAAGGAGAGGGGGGTTAGATGAGTTTGTTTTAGAGGGCATGTGAAGAGGTAGTTAGTGTCGTGTAGATACTCTCCACATGTAAGGCATACGTTGGGTATGCTGGGGCTTAGTCTGGATAAGTAGGAGTTTAACTTGCTACAATATCCAGACCTGAGTTGTGTCAGGGTCACGTGGGTCTCTCGAGGCAGCCCGAGCTCGTAGTCTGCTATAGGTGGTGGTTTTTCTTCTCACTGGAAGGGAGTCCTTGAAGGTGTTTACTGACTCCTGGTGAATGGCGGTTGTTGCACATATTGCTGGATTGTGTCCCTTAAATCTAGTAATACCTTTCTGATGTGCCTAGGTGGAGGTTCAGCTTCTATTAGGTGACTACTGGGGTACTCCCTGCGGTAGCATCCAAATAGGAACTGCTTGCACAGCAAAGTATTATGCTCCTTAACTCGTAGCATAGATGCTTCGCTGTGCAAGTGATACTCCGGCGACATCAGGAGGTTTCCTGTCGCGGTCCTGAGGGCGGTGTTCTGGCAAGTCTGTAACTTCTTCATCTGCGTCTCGTTCATACCCGGGGCCCAGATCGGTGCAGCATAGTTTACGACCGGCCGGCCGGCCAATGGTTTTATAAATAGCCAGTAAAGTTTCTTCGTCTTTACCCCAAGTGCTGCCGGCTGCCGCTTTGAGTATTTTTTTGCGGCTCTGGAGTTTTGCGGCAATTGCGGTCGTATGCGGAGTGAAGGAGTTGGGTTATTTACCGTCGGAAATTTTGTGTCATTGACCTTCACATCTAGCTCAAACCTGTACTCCTTCGTCCAGCTGGTGAAGAGGGTAGCCGAGGATTTGGTCGGTTGTATTTTTAGCTATCTTGTAGTGAAAAAGCGGGAGAGATCAGCGAGGTAGCCGTCCACTTTCGAGCAGAAGTCGTAAATATCCTGGCCAGACGCTATTATCGTAAAATCATCAGTATACGAGGTTATGGAAACTACTTCTGGTGGTGGAGGGAGTTCCGAGATGTAAAAAATAAACAGGAGCGGGAGAGGACACCACCCTGCGGAAACCCCTGTTTAATTTTTCTGGGCTTAGATGTTACACCTCGGAATATTACCGATGATTGTCGACCACTCAGGTAGCCCATGACCCACCTCTGCAACCCCGGCGGTAATGAGGATTCCTCAATGTCCGTTAGTAGCACTGAGTGATTGACTGTGTCAAAAGCTTTTGACAAGTCCAGTGCTACCAGGACAGTTCGCGCGCAGGGTCGGTTTGGTTAGTGCTGTGGTGGTGCTGTGCACTTTTCTTAAGCCATGCTGATGCGCTGCTGGACGCAGATGGTGAGTGAAAGTCGGGACCCGGTCATCACGTCTCGTCGGTTTAGACAGTGACTTGACTGTAGCCCAGAGCTTGGTTGCCCCAGAGAAGAGGTTGCAGGTCAGTATAGATCGCCAGACTATACTCTTTATCATGGCCGTTAAGACGATACTGCACGGTATTGTGCAGTATGAACACTAACCCCATGGTCTCGCGATCCTTGCGGATTATGTTGTATTCGGCACAGCCCAGAAGATCTGATCGGGCGGTCAACTTAGTTTCCTGGATCGCAGCAATTGACAGGTGCTCCCGGCTCATGCAGTCGACTATCTCGTCGATCTTTCCCTGGAGTCCGTTGCAGTTAAATTGTAGGAGTCGGGTCTGTTTCGGAGGAACGTTTGTGATACGGGTGGTGTGGGAGTGATGCGTGGATGAAGTGTGTTGCTGCTGTTATGCCCGCAGAGGTTGGTTCCGCACATTGGTGTTAGTAGGCGGAGGGTTTATCGAAACAGGCAGGGGCAGACGCCTACAGCACGAGGCAACATACGCATCGCTCCACTCACAGGTGATGCGCAGGCCAGAGCACGTCCGAAAGTGCACCAGCCAAAGCAAGAGTTGCATCTGACTTAGGTCACGCTCCGACGCACTATGGTCTGACACACGGAACAGACTGTACGGGGGACTAGGAGCTGCTGGGTAAGCCTCGCACGGGAGAATAATGATTATCTTTATAATCGATTAATAATATTCCTTCCAGGCCCCCGAAAATCGTTGCATTGACTCACAATATCCTGACTTATACCCCGGTCGGCGCGTCAAATGTATCAGATTGCATTCTTAGGACGGTGTGGTTTTTTAATTATTATTTGAATACATTGGAAATTCGTTATTCGCTCTATGTTGTCCAAACATGTTTACTTTCATGTCCAAGTGTTCTTCGCCGGTATAACGGTATATCAGTTATTGCTGTTAATTTGTCATAGCCTATTACACCGGTGATACAATTTCGCTAATAGAACAATTTCAAACTTGCCTTGCGCACACTCGATGGACCTGCAGCTCCTTTACATTCAAAACTATATTTTCACTGCACATCCATCCTTTTATTGAAGGGGCACATTTATTGCAGCCGCAGGCGAATTGGTTTACTACTGTGTACACACCTACCCATGCTTATCGTGAAACTCGTTATTTAAATTGTCTCTTATCGCAAAGCAAATAAGTATTGCACTTAAGATTTAATATGCACCAATGCATGTATGCGTGACTATTAGGGTGGGATCAATCATTACTGGATAGTTATTTACACTAAAATTCTGTTGGATAACGGTAATAAATCTCCAAACCGGTCGGGTGAATTCTATCTCTTTAGTGGTGCCGTTTGCCTAAATTAGTCAATAAAATATAAATTTTCAGATACCGTGGTATCTGCGGATTCTCTATTCAGCTTTGATTTCAGAACGACTAACTAGCTGAGTTCAGCATTCAATTCCAACTGTTTACTTAAATTAATTCACTCCAATGCGCATCAGCATTGTACTAATTCTTATCTGCTGGTTATACTTATGTATATAAATATAATTTCACAACTGGCATTATAAATATGCACATAAAAGCACACAGCATTCACATTTAGATTGGTTTCGCGCCCGACCAGTTTAATTTCGTTTAACGGCATTCGAAAGAATTTTAATTCAATTCAAAATGACTAAAATGAACGAATCCGCTTCCGAGTGGCTAAATAAAGAATACTTTGAGACGGTTTTACGCAAGCACAAGAAAGATGAAGGGCTGACCATACAAAAATTTAACACCAGTGCTGGGACAACGAAAGGCGATAGTTTTATTAGCGCTATGACCCGCTTCAATGTGGAATTTCTTTTGTCGAACAGCCAGGAGCCCCACTATGGATTTTATATCGTAAAAAGTAGCTACGAGGGGGATCCAACTATCCGAAAGATCATGACGGACTTCGATGTGTATAACAGAGAAATTCTAATGTACAACAAGATTTTGCCTGAGATGACAGCTTTGCTGGCGGAAATCGGTGATGATGATAGGCTCTTTGCCGAAACAATGCATGTCGATTTAGAACGCGGGGCCATCATTTTCGAAGATTTATCAGCATCAAACTTTGTGGTTGGGAATCGCATAGAACGACTTGATGAGCCACAAGCAAAACTAGTATTAAGTAAATTAGCCAAATTTCATGCCACCGGGGCTGTACTAAACGAGCGTATGCCAAGTATTTTAACAGATTTACAAGGTGGTTTTCTCAGAGATTCGAACCGCGCATTCGAACCCTTTCACCAGGGCATGGTGGAGGTGTGCGCTAAGTTCGCTGGTGGTTGTGAAGAATTGGGACCTTATTACAAGGAGAAATTACTGAAACTAAAGCCCAAAGTAATGGACTATTCCATACGTTGTTTTTATCCAAAAGATGACCATTTTCTCACACTCATACACAGTGACATGTGGTCAACTAATATAATGTTGAAATTCAATACGGAAGGCGCTCAGAATGGCACCACAGAAGTTGTGGACGCGAGATTGATAGACTTCCAATTCAGCAACTGGTCATCACCAGCTGTCGACTTACATTATCTAATAAACAGTTCATTCATAGAGGAAATCCGCTCGAGTCGTCAGGATGAATTTATTCAATATTACCATGGAATATTAGCAAGTACGCTGAAAAAACTAAACTATGGTGGACATATTCCATCTCTACATGAACTGTGTGTTCAGCTGGAAGATCGACGATTTTACGGTATATCTATTTGAATTCCATTATTTTTTGAAGATTTATATTTATCCAAGATCTTATAGCTTTCACAGCCGCCATCGTCAATCAACCTCTGCAAACCACAGCAAATACTGAGGATGCGGATCTCAACAGTTTAATCGAAATTAACGAACGCTCCAGGAAATTTTATGAAATGCTTTATAGCGACCCAAAAGTGCAAAATACAGTGAAAGCGTTGTTACCGTTTTTCGATCGGAAGGGACTACTTGATATAACTGATTAGATTAATAAGTATAAAAAGATATGCTACGCCACTGTATTACAAAAAATGATATCAAAGCGATAAATGTGCTATTTAGTCTGACTTATCTAGTCTGTAACTTACACGTACTAAGTTCGAGTGTTTTAAATTCTGCCGTATTAACAGAAATAACTGTATATTAATAAGTTTGCATGTAAATACTTGAAATGCCACTGTTTTTAAATATTATATAACACATTAACTTGCATGTTTTAAAGGAATGTAATAAATTTGATAATATTTTCAAAGGGAAAGTGATCAAACTTACTTTGAATTATATCCAAATGTTTCTGCATGCGTTATTTGCATTTGCTATATGATATGTACACTAAAAATAATTCAGATACTTGATTGCTGCAATTCTTTCGAAACAATAATTTATCATTTTGTCTTAATTATTATCTCCCAACTGGGCTATAAAAAGTATGTATATATTACTTTAATATTATTAGATATTCAAATGTTGTTGCATGCTTAACTGTTTTAAAAGTATTTCTGAAATGTTTAAAAATCCCATCCAGCATACTCCTTAACAACATCCTTATTTTCTTTGCGATGTCTATGCACAGCGCTCGCTTCGCCTTTGGCCACACAATGCTTGCGCATTTCACGTCTTTCTTTTGCGCCCAAATTTTTTCTAATGCGATCTGTTATTACAGAGGGCGCAATTGTACTAGCTGTGGTCGAATAAGAGCGTTGACTACGTGTGTCGTTCAAAAGTTTTTCCACCATTTTCAAGCGGTACATTCGCGAATTCGGATCCAAGTTATTGAGTTCTGGCACATTATCAGTCTCCAAGTCGTTGGAACTTATTGATACAGCGTCAGAGTCATGGTTACTGATTGCTACATCAGGCTCATTATCTATTACAGCTTCGTTTTGTGAGGGATCTCCTTGTTGTTCTTGAGATGAGATTTTTTGAATATCAGTGCTTACATTATCTGCTAAACTTTGGATGCTTCTGGGCGGCAGTTCATCTGAATGCTCCGCTTCTGCAGTAATATTAATGTTTGCCAAATATTGTGAGCACGACTCAATATAACGACGTATGGAATCGTCGGTTTTCTTTGCGCTCCTCGCTTCGCTGAAGCTCACTTCATTTTCAAGTTGACGACGATATACTTTAATATCCTCGTTGGTATATTTTTCATCCTGCGTGTCATTTTTATCTTCGTCATTGCTCACATTACTCTCACAGTCCTCGTCTTCTTCGATCATGCCATATTCCTATCGCATTACGTAATGTTATCAATACAGAAGGAAATTCGTACACAAACCAATTAATACCTGTAAAATGTCTCTTTCCATTTCTTTTGTAACACCGTAACCCGTACAATGAACTTCTGCATCCAAATCATCTTCACGCTTTAGGTCACTAAATTTTGGAAACTCTTCACTTTCGTATCCAAACTTTCTTCGGAACATTTCGCGTACGCAATTCACATCTCGATCGAAGAAGCTAAAGCACAATTGATATAAATAATAAACGTAATATTCACACACATATTTATAGGCGAAAAATTTTTCTTTCTTACAATTCAGCATTTTCATGCGAGGTTGACATCATTTGAGGAAAATCAATTAAAATTGGATTTCCATCATCTGTGAGCATTAAGTTGAACTCATTAAAATCACCGTGAATGACGCCTGCATTACCAAGTCGTACGATTAAATTCATTAGGTCGTCATACACTTGCTCAACGTCAGTCAGCTCCTGAACTTGTGTCCTATAAAAACGATTTTATCGCATATGGCAAAAAGATGTTGCTATTTATGTCGTAAATTAACTTACATTGGCCAGCCGTTGACCAACTCCATTAACACGCAATGACGATTGAAGTCTATTGGTTTAGGCACTGGGAAACCACGATCATGTAAAGCACTCATATAGGCAAATTCACGCGTTGCCGATATACGCGATAAATATAACCATGATGCTTTGTGTCGACGTCCATGATAGTCTCGTTTCGCTTTGATATTTCTAAAACAAGTTCGACCCAGTCGATGGAGCTTTAAACATATCGGCTTCTCATCTTCGTCACCGACTACATATATATTTGACTCTTTACCTACACCAATTTGGTTACCAAATGAAGATACAGATCCACGCAAAGTCAAGGATTTTAAAGCCAAATAGTCATAACCAGTATTAGTAAGACGGTAGCCATCATCTAGTAAAAACAGTTTCAATATTTATTACATTTTTTTGTGTAGTTTATTGGGTATCTTACATTTCTTTCCACGTTCATATGAAACCAATTTGTGTTTGCAAAGCTCTCGGAGCAATTTGTGCACCCCGCCGGCTTTAATATTGGCTATAGATGCAGCTAATTGACCCGGCACAAGTTCATGATTCTTCATACCCATTTCAATCTGATCATAAAATATATTAACTAAAGGTGCATAAACAAAAAATTATTTCCAAAATACAAACCGCTGTAAGCACCCTAAAGTCCTCCTTGGTCAGGTAACGCAACACAGTCACATCCAGCTTTCCCATTTCCTAAGTTTCACTCTTTTCAACTTAAAATGGGAATGAAAAAAATATTTCGTACGAAATAAAGTGTACTACCAAACACGTTGTCTCAGAAGGAAAACAAATGCGAAATTACAATATTTTCTTCAGGGCTGCTTAGTTGAAAAACAGCTGGTGATAACACGCATAACGTTCTTAGCGTCATCTACTTTAGAATTTTGTAGGCTTTAGCTCGAGTAATGGTGCCAGAAACACGAATACGCCAAATTTGTCCGTTCAAACATGGGTGTATATCATTAAAAAGGTGAGTTTTTCAAGATATATGTGTCGCTAAGCCTTCTAATAGATAAAATGTATGAAATGTGATATCTTGTTAGATTTTTTTAATTATATTTTAAGATTGTAAAAGAGAACAACCTATATAAGATAGCACAAATACAATTTTACTTATGTAGGTATATCGTTTTATAACTGAAAATAATTTTTTTTTAAATATTGAACTAAGTTTTGCAATCTTCCTTCTTGAATGTTTCGTCTTCTTCTGGTTCCGCACATCTTACGATTACTTTTCTATTTCCAACATTCGACTCGTGCAGCGCTTTCCGAAAAGCATGTTCAACTTCTTGCCATTGGAATACGTTCGCAATCAGTCGACCAATAGGCGCCTTACCATCCTCAATTAAGTGCAGTGCCGTAGGGAACCTTTGGAAAATAGGTTATAATATAAAACTCGTCAAAAAAAAAAGGACGATGTGAACTATTCACTGCTGTACTTACATATTAATCGACCTAAAACTTGGAATCAATTTAAGGTTCTTCATAAGAACGTCCATTGCATTAAAGCAGGCACACTCTGCATCGCACTCAGCTAAGACGCATACGCCACACGGCTTCAGTGCCATCACTGATAAGTTCATTGTCTTCTCTGAAATAGCACAGTTAATGACGGCATCGGGCCAATCGTGTAGAACGCTGTACAAGCATTCCAGTATCGTACAGTACTGCATGTCTGCTTCGTAATGCAAGCAGTTAAAGTTAAAAGTTTTCTCAATTGTTTCCAGAGGTTCTTTCAGAGTGGACGCTACACAAATGTTACCCGCGCCGATGGCACGTGCACAGAGTGCTGTCGAAATGGCTGTGGAGCCAGCGCCGATGACTAGCACATTTGTAGTAGGTAGAATCTGTGCCTTGAAACATGCCTGGCATCCAAGCGCCAAGGTTTGCGTCAAAGTTGCTTCGATCGTATCGACATCGTCCGGAATTTTATGGCATAAGTCTGCAGGATGTACTTGATATTTGCGTAGAAAGCCATTGAATATTAGGTTATTGCAAATATTGTAGCAACCCTTCTTGCAATAGTCACAAATTCCACAAGCCAGACCCGATTCAAGTACAACTCGATCGCCTGGTCGAATTTTCGTTATTGAACAGCCAACCTGTTGGAAGAACGAACAGGAACCAAATTCAATTAGACAGTTTGATTACTAATTCAAGGGTAACATACTTCTTGCACAATGCCCGTTGCGTCGTGACCCAGCGTCATGCCGGGATAAGACTTACCACCGGTTTCATAGTAATGCAGGTCTGATCCTGAAAGCGCCACTGCCTCGGTGCGTACCAGGATATCTAAAATCAATAATTCATGAAGTTTTTCCTGGCCTAACAAAGTATTCAAACTGACCGTATTCACTGAAACTCGGTATTGCTTCTAAACATCTTTCGACCGTGCATGGTTCCATTATTCTAATCACTTCATTTCTAGTTTCATTCAACAGACTTGTGTCATTATCATCGTCATCAGTATTTTCTTCACAATTCCTTTCCTTTCTATATTCGTAGTTTCGTTTGGTATCATCGTAGCATCGAGTATCGGTTTCCTTACAAGAATTCGATCCAAAACTTCTTTTGTTTAACATAAAAACTGGACCGATAATTTGCAAGCGTGATCTTAAGCTGAGAGGTGTGGGATTCTTATTTTCTGCCTTATTATAAGAATAAAATTTGAAAATTATTTGCAACCCTCAGACATACCGTTTCGGATGTGTTTGTTTACTTACTTACCCTTTTTGTGTGTAGCGCAATCCGATTTTGCAGGATCTTTACAAAGCTTTTCTTGGCAGTCGTCGGGATCGGTAAAGCAGTTTTTTGGTTTTCTTCGTTCGAGTTTATCAATGCGTTTTGTTTTTGTTTTCATTACACTCTTCATACATGAAGCATCGCTTTTGCCTCCCTTCTTCTTCCCTTTAGAACTCTTTTTGGAACTAAGACGTCTCCAAGAAATAAAGCCGCGAGGAACAGAGGACATGGGAACGCTACTGAAAAAGCGCTTAATAGGGAAAATGTCAACAATCGTGTTGGTATTTCCAAAAGTACTGTATTTCTTGGCACCAGAGCCCGGTTTGGTTTTGCAATTGGGAGCAGTTGATTTCTTTTTTTGACACTCTCCTTTCGTGTCACCTTTCGACGATGCATTTTGGGACTTACATTGAGTCGACTCACTCTCCGACGGCTTCAACTTTTTTGCATCACATTGAATTTTAGCGGGCTTGCTTTTAGAGTCGTCCTTTGATTTGCAGGCGCCCTCCGGTTTCGTCTTTTTCTCTTCGCAAATACTTTTGGTGGATTTAGTCTTGGATTCGTCCTTTGTTTTGCAGACGGTTTTCTTGTGCACTGCGTCGCACGATTTTGATTTCTTCAAGTCGCATAGATTCTTAATAGTTTTGCATTTAGTTTTAGACTTGCTTCTGGTTGATGAACATGTGTCCGTGGTCTTTTTAGGTGCCTGCTTTTCGGCTGAGCATGGGGACTTATCTCTTTTATTTTTGCAAATGCCCTCAAAACGCTTACACTCTTCTTTGGCGGATGATTTGGATTTAACTTCGGTTGGCTTTTTGACATCACAAATGTTTTTCGCTTTTTGCTCCAACTTTCCTTCAGATCCACATTTTGATTTGGCTTTTTTGCTCGAAACACTGTTAAATGGCTTACATTCGCTGTCAGACGAGCCAGACTTCTTGTTATCTTTTTTCCCCGTGGACGTGCATTTGCTTTCGGTCTGCTTTATATCAGCGGCGCTTTTGCATTTCCTTGTGGACATTGCACTCAGCGATGTTGGAGAAACGGACTTTTCCATATCACAAAGACTCTTCGTAGATTCCAATTTGTTATCTTTTCCAGAGGAAAACTCTTTCTTGTTCTTATCAGGCCTATCGTTGACATTTAGACATGGATCCTTGCACGGATCGCCCAAATCGCATTTCTTCTTTTTGGGCTTTGGACACTCTTTCTCTATTTTGCAAGCGTCTGACTCGCTATTACATCTATTACCAGTATTTTCGTCATTGCCGCAAATATTCTTCTTCTTCTTGCCGTCGCTAGGTTTCTTTTTTTGTTTCTTTCCTGCGCAGGGTTGCGGTACGCCCGGAGTAGTGCAGTTATCTTTGCCTTTGCCTTTGCTGGATGCCTTTTTACAAGGATCATCCTTACCTTTGCATGGATCGCCTTTTTTCTCCTTCTTCTTTCTAGTTGGACAATCCTTCTTTAGTTCATTTCCGCACTCGTCTACCAAAGGCTTGGTGCAGGGATTATTCTTCGGATCCCCGCATTTATCCTTCTTCTTAATCGCCTCCTTTTTATGAGATTTACATTTATCGTTCGGTTCAGATTTTTTCTTAGCCATCTCGGCACGTCGTTTCGTGGCTTCAATTAGTGCCTTCGCATATGCCTTACAACTCATAAGTCCACGTGAAGTGTAACTGTCGATTATTTCGGAAGATTTAAGTAAAGAAATCTCAGAAGAAATGCAAGCCTTATCAGACTCGGTAGCTTCTTCCGAGCCAACTACTGCATCAGTACCGCTTCGTGGCACGAAATTCGGATACTCAGCATTACCAGGCGAAATGCACCCCTTTGAACCTTCACGTACACAAACAATGTGTGGATTACGTTTCGGGCTCTCCTTACCATCCTCACATTCGGCTGGTGATTTTGTGGAATAGGACATTCGACTGATATCCGCTGGAAACCCCTTCTGTAAGGCGGTACTGCAAATATTAGCCGCTATTGTTGTTACGCTTTCATTGAATTCCGGCACCTTGATCTCTCCAAGATCATTGGGCGTGTATTTGGATGGATCGATTTCTACAGTACCTTGAATCATTGCATTGAAATCAAGTGGGATCGTGCCTGTCGTTTCTGATGTGTCCATATCCAGACTTGCTTTCATTGTCACAGTGGGATCCTCCAGTGTCTTCGGTGTTGGAGGCTTAAACAAGTTGATCTTTTCTAAGGCTGCACTGCGAAATATGGCATCTTGAATATTGCTCATGTCCATCTCAAAGACCAGTTGCATTGAAGCTATTGCCATTTGCTTTAGTTTTTCTTCGAGATTATCTGGCACATACACGACCAAATTCCGTTTGGTGTTCCAAGCTGCAGCTTCAAAGCAATCATGCGCAGCCGTGCGATTTATTTCTTGTTCGGCAACAGCACGCTCCAGCTTCTCGTAAAGTGAAATATTGCTGTTCTCGTGAGAATCTTGAAAAACTGTTGAGTTTGAAGCGTCTTCGTCATGAGTCCCTAACGTGACATCGTCTTGGCCAGTATATTGTTCTAGCATAGCTTTGTTAGCATTATTACCCGCAAGTGGCACATGGTGTTCATGGGAATCTGTTGCGTCCAACACATTTTCTGTAAATGCTTCAATTTGCTTAGCATGTTCCCGTATTATCGAAAGGGTTTTCAATGCTCTGTTGTTGGCCTCATCATCTCCGTCAAAAAAGTGAAGTGGAATTAACATGATTTTCGTCGAAGTAGTTGGAGATTTCGATTGTATTAAGGCCACTGGTAATATGCTGGCTAAGCTCGACTTGCTCCCCTTGCTCGATGAACCTAAACGCCGAAGAAGATAAGTTCATAAAGGTCTTCATATTGTAAACTCTTTTTACCAGATTTAGAGCCCATAGAGCGCACGGTAACGTTTTTGAAAGCGCGATTATTGAAGGATGGTCGGCGAGCAAAATTAAGGTAGCTGAGGGTTGAAGCATAGCGACGCGGCTTGAAGTTGGATTGTCGTCTAGACAGCTGAGGACGATTAGAGATCGCACAGCATGGCGATGTTAGAAGTTGTTTCAAAGGGTAAACTATTAGCATTAAAGCCACGATCATCGTCACCTTGCCAACTCACCCGTAAAGTCTGTAGGAGCTTCCCAAATATTCGCATATTTTCTAATAAAAATTTTATTTACACAAGAAATTTTGCTAAAAACCGAAAGAATTGACAAACTTTTTTCGTATTTTTTTAATTCTCTTCAAATTATTTAATTTTTTGAATGGAATTTCAGAAAATTCTAGATCAGTGAGAAAATTATGTATTTAGTAAAGTGTTTTTACAAGAGGCCAAATTACTACAGTGAGATATTTTACTCAGTTATTAAAAGCCAACACGAACTCCGATAAGCGTTTGGTAAGTGACCTTTGGAATTGAGAGCGAGAGAGTTCAGTGCTATTGGCATCGCGATGAAGGTGTTCTTAACATTGTCGGCCGGCAGACCAAAAACTAAATTTTAACACTCGCACACAGGTGGATGTGTGTAGATGTGTTTAAACACTATTGTTAGTATGTGTCATCCAAAGAGCACCCTGTGGGGAGAAGGTAGAGTATTATGCACAAATTCTGGTAAGGTACTAACATTTTGAAGATGAGATCGCCATATCTTAATGATAGCCCAGCGGTAAGAGGTTACCAGCGCGTGAGGCTCGCAGTTCGAGTCTCAACATGCCCAAATGATCTAGTACACAACTAGTAGAAAGTATAGTTTAGATGGAAGATGAACCCGTTGGAGCAAGTATACAAACCAGTTGGGTTCTAGTTAGCAACTAGTATTTTTTCCTGCAGGGTTAACGCTGCAGCGAAACTGAAAAATATGGCGACATATTTTGCATATTAATTATTATATATTGTTGATGGACATGAATGGCTTGGGCTGCACATCGTTCGTTGAATATTTTGAATTCACGCTTTTGGCTGGAGTTCGCTGGATCTACAACGGTTAGTGCAATTCTGACAGCCAACGGTTTTATTAGTCGGTGTACCGGAGAATAAAATCTTATCAGTCAACAATAATTTGGTGTTTTGTTTCAGTAAATAAAAGAAAATGTTGGGAGCACAACGCCCTCCTTGGCTGGCTCTGTGTATTTTCGGTGGGCTTTCGACCGTAAGTGCTTAGAATTCCTATAAATATTATTCTCCTCGAAGCAAAAAATGATAGTAAAACTAGTGTATAAAAAATACTAAAAGACATTGTGAACTCTCGCCTTCTTCTTTATTGACGTAGATATCGCTTACGTGATTATAGCCGAGTTAATAACATCGCACCACTCATTCGCTGTTCAATGCTAACTGTGCCAACTGCGAATACCAGTTACTGCCAGGTTCTTCTCCACCTGGTCGAAAACCCAACGCTCAACTATCAGTTACTCTCCTCGTCCTTGCTTCTGTACCATATAGCAGGAGAGGACTTACTTTTCAATTGCCTCTCAGTCCAAAGTAGCATCTGTCTGGAGAAAGCACAACTGTGGGCTCTTTTCCAAGTTGGTTGATGGTGGGCTCTAGTCTTTAAAACAATACGCTCGATAGGACCTGACGACGATGGATGTACCAACTCCTTCATAGCCGGGCAATGAATCATCTGTCACATCGTCACGAATGGGGAATCGGGTTCCTCATCTCCTGCTGTTCCAAATTTTCTGTCACCGAGCAGGGTAGAAAAGTGTTCCCTCTTCGACTGGTTCAAAAAGCACCAACACATTTTCTTAAACACAAATTAAATTTTCGGTGGAAACAAGAGTCCTCAGGGATACTTGCACGGTATCTGTTAAGCTTCATTATGAATATATCATACTAAGATTTATTTTAAATTAGTTGCTGTTGGGTCTTCAATGAAAAATCTCCTTGAAAGTTGAATTGAGAACCCAAAGGAATAAGTAAAATTCATTTTCTGTGTGTGTGTAAATGTGTAATGAACGTGACGAAGTATTCAAAATTACGCATAAACCGATTCGTGACCTTGAATGCAAGCACACACACACACACACACACACAAACACACATACACACATTCAAAAGCATTCGCATGCAAATGCCAAATAACGTTATGAATGCCATGCACAAGTATGTATGTATTTATGTATGTACGAGTATGGGTAATTTATATTCGAAGAGCTTCGAACCATTTTAGAACATCCACACGATTAATTGCCACCGCGTGCCCATAGTCCCAGACATGCCATGCATTTAAAAGCTTTAATTAAATTAATGAATAAAAGTTTTGGGTAAATTTCCATTTCTCGTCAATAATATAATAATAATAATAATAAATGTTGCATTTCCCACTTTCAGTTCACACTTCTGACGACTACAAAAGCACTGCCGGCGACTACACCTCTACCGCACACCACCCACATTGTCAGCTACGTACACCAAGGCCGAGCCGGAGCAAAGAGCGGCGATATAAGGGAATTCGACTACGAAAGCATACAAAGCGGGAGTAATGAACGCAACGCAGCCTTACGCTCTACAGAGCCTCCAACCGCCATCTCCCAGTTATATGGCGCATTTGTGGAACAATTAGACATGAGTTTGGACAATGGTTTACCGGGTATTAACAGCAGCTCAAAAATTGCTGCCTCTAGTACAGAAAAGGTTCGCCAAACGGACGATTTACAAGACACACATCAGAATACACTTGATGATGTTTTTACTGTCAATGAACAACATGAGTCCTCTAAGGTCGGGAAGAATGTCAGCCAGTCACATGCAGGTGGTTTAATGTGGAATCGCATGAAACAGAGTATTCCGGTGCTGGAGCCTGTACGTCACCTTTTAAATACAGTGCGTGAACAGCACAATCAGACAGTGCATGCGGCTAGGCAACACCACCAATTGTTGGCAACAATGATCACTGGAATGGGTGATCATATGCCTTCTAACGAGTCGTCTGCTATTGAGACAGAGGAGGATCGCGAAGCGGCCAATGAAAGTACAGAATTCAAGCTGCTGGACTTTGCAGGTAGCCTTGTGGGTATGATTTGGGGCTTCATTGGAAATCTTCAGCGCGCTTTTGCGGCTAGCAGCGGTAATGCTCTTGCGTCTTCCTCGTCCGGTTCTTCCGGCGATCAGTAAGGCGATATGTTAGCAAACTTTGTTTATCAGTTTAATCAATTAAGAATATTTGCGTTTTAAATTTAATTGGAAATGTAAATTTCTACAGTTATATTTATTAGCACGATTATAATAAAATGAACTGTAATTTATTCGATACCGAGGAAAAGTGTTAAATAAAATATGAGGACAAGTTTAATAAATTACGGAAAATTTTTATAAAAAGATACTACGAAATGTCAAAGTATTCATAAAAAAGAATCGCATAAGTTTGTGCCTTCAGTCTTTAGTCTTCTGGGCTCATGTTTTAAAAGTTTATCAACATTTGAATTCCATTTTTAGTATTGATGGAAAAAAAATTTTACAAATTATAAATGAACTGATTTAAAACGTATGAAATTAACTAAAATAAAATTAAATTAAATATATCAAATAATACAAAAGAAAATGAAATAAAATTGAATAATTAAATTGAAATAAAATAAACTAAATTAATACAAAATCAAAAAATTAAAATAAATTATATAAGGTGAAATAAAATAAAATTAAATTAATTAACATTAAATAATAATTGATAAAAACAAATTCAATGAAATAAAGTAAAATAATATTAAGCAAAAAAAAATAAAATTATAAGAAATTAAGTTGGTTAATAAAAATTAATTAAAAAGTATATAATTAAATTAAATTAAATTTTAAACTAAAATTAAATTACACCAAAGTAAAAAAAAATAGTTTTTTTAAGCGATTTCTGCATAATATCATATACTAATACTGTGTTATGTTGACAACAAATGCCAAGCACTTTCGGTCTACAGCGCCACCTACTTGTGGATTATTGAAAATGCGTTTGCCTACTGTATAATTTATATTTTTAAATGTACTCCAATTGGGTTAAATATATATTTTATTGATGAATTTATTGTATATGCAATTTTCTGTAATAAACATTTGTTTTTTTAACTCCTTTACAATGGCTGGTAGCACTGTTGCTCAATCTTTTTCAAGGTGGCAGCGTTCTCAGTTGTTTTTTAGTTGGAAATGTCAAATTTTGTGCGTCGAATTTTTTTAGCAGCTCGTTTTTGGCGCACCGTACGGAAGGTAAACAAACAATTGCTGCCTTACAAACGTTCGAATTTAATATATCAGTGAAGAATATAATAGATTTTGTAAGTTTTAATTGACCTTGGGGATTTGGTTTTATTTGTGATGCAAGAGTTGACCTTTCACCAAGTGCTGAGTGCAATACATTTATAATAACGATAAATGAATACAATAAAAAAATGATTGAATACAAAGATTTTCTTTGATTTTTTTATTTACCTCTATGTACAAGCGTTTATAAGAACACATATTTATCTAATTGTTTTTAAATGGATTTTTAGTTAGCGCATCCTGTCCGTGGGAGTGAGTTCGAAAGTATGTCTTCAGCTGAAAAAAGTGGTCTGGCGTTGAAAAAGCTAAAAGAATTCGGTTATGCTTTTAATGCTGGTAAATAAAATTGTATATATCATTCTCATATACCTTTTATATAACTAAATTTTTTCTGTTTAGACGGGCAATTGCGAAAAATTGATGAAATTACTGGGGAGCCAGGCGAAGAACCTTTCAAATTCAGCATATTTGAAGACCACGCCAAAAATCAAGAGCATTACGAAAAACTTGCTGATGTATGTTAAACACTATACTAATTATATCAAATGTGCAAACAGAGTTACCACTTACATAAAATTTTTAAACGGAATTGCAGCAAATCCCTGATATAGTCTACGATTTATTGGAACAAAATGGCTTAAGTCGCACTTATGTACCGGAAGATATACCTCAGGAACAAGCAACCTTTATCTTTACGAAACCTCACAAGCTCGAGCAACCAAAAAAATTGCTTGTAATCATTCACGGCAGCGGATATGTTAGAGCGGGTCAGTGGGCCAGAAGGTAAATAAAATATGCAAATTTTTCACATATACATATTGCCTTTATACTTTTTAATAAATTCTTGAATTACATTGATGTATGTATGTGGATCTAAAGTCTTATCATTAACAATTCACTTGACCATGGCACTCAGATTCCATATATAAAACGTGCAGAATCACTTGGCTATGACATATTGGTGACGAATACGAATGATAACTACCGTAATATTAATGGCGAAAGTAAGCCCATACCACGCGTAGGATCTGCTTCAGCTCATGCCAGATATGTTTGGGAAAAGTATGTGATGGCCTGCAAACCGGAGAGCGTGGCAATTGTGGCACATAGTTATGGTGGGGCAATCGCAATGGATTTGGTAAAATTAAAATAAATTATAGTAGTATCTCTATAAAAATATAATTTTATTGCTTCTTTAGGCCAACCGTTTTACCAAATTTTTTGAAGAGAGCGTGTTCGCAATTGCACTAACCGACTCGGCACATTTTCAAATACCGGGAAAAGCTAAAAATGTCGTTTTAGATATTGCCTGTAATTGGGTATCTGGTTCTGCACCGCTCGACACTGAGATCTACACAGGAGAAGGTGAAATGCGCAGTGTATCGGCTGGACATCCTAAACATGAGTGGACTTCTTATTCTGCTTTTGAATCAGTTTTCAAATTCTTGGAAGATAAATACGAGCACGCCAATGCCCTACGTTCTGGTAGTAAAAAATCGAAAAAAGAAGCCTAATAGTTCTTGCTGCGAAGTAAATTATTCAACATGCATATTCATATACATACTTATTTATTTATATGCAGAGCTGTTGATATTATCGATTTAAAAAGCTTATTTGAATTGAAAGACGTAGATTTTTTAATTAAAATTTCTGTGCGGATAATTGTAATTGTTAATTGTAATACGTTAATTTTTAATGTCTTGTAAATAATTTTTACATTCCATAACAATGCATTTAAAGCACCTTTATCGTGCTCGTCAATATTACTTATATCAATTCATTTAATTTGATTTTCACCATCTAGAGCCAGTTTAGCAAACTTAATCGCATTGATGTGTCTATGTGATAAAACACAACCTTTTGAAAGCCATATACACGCATACATCCGTACAAAAATACATTCTGTTAGTGATGATGGTCACACTGCAAACAATTTTGTTAAAAGTGAATGCTAAAAAACCGTAGAAAACTAAAAATGTTAAGGGTAGTTTTTATACGTGCCGGCTTACATGGAGTAGGAGATATCCCTCAATTGACCTACTGTCATTTTATATGTCGTCACAGCTCGTTACTTATCGCATAATGTGAGCACAAGTATCATAAAAAATATAATGTATAATATAAATACATAAGTACAGATGGGACAGAAAACTGAAAAAAAAACTTAAATCTATAGGCATGCATGAGGTTGGGCCGATTTTTTTTATTGCATTTCTGAGGCAAAATTCATAAATTAAGTATTTGTAAGCACATCTCATCGTTAACATGTGTGTGTATGTTCCATTAATCTGTGTTATAAAATGTCCAATACATTTATTAAATCAATTGAAATTTTTAATTTCTAGTAAACGACTTATGTATGTATTTGTTTACGTAAATATATATATGTGAAGTGATTGTATTTTGAATTTGGAACTGTCGTTTGTTTTCATGTACACCTGCTGATGAAATTGATCTGAAATAAATTTAAAATATTTAGAAATTTTTATGTTTTTGTAGTGTTCATGTTTGTAATGCCAAATGTTATATAATAAATATTTAAAATATGTATTATGTTTATGCATAACGTATCTAAAATATATGTGAATATGTGTAACCAAATATTGAAAATTTGAAAGAGCCGTTGACGGTTTCACTGGTTACACCCAAAATATACCGATAAACAATATCGTGGCGCCAGATTTATATGAGGTTTTATACAAATCTATGTATGTATTATATATAAAGGGGTTTGTCCTTAATGACTGACACATTAACCATACCTTAATCAATTGATCGTAGAAGTCTGAAACTTTAAGGGTGTGTTCGGCATATGACGTAAGCATCCTGCTCAGGCTTGGACGCTGGGGACTATCAAAACGTAGTTGATATCACAGTGAGACGTTTATGCTACGAGTTAAGGATACTTAAGGATGAAAATCTATTTGAGCACATCAGAAAGGAAAACTAGACTACAGTGACTCCATTCAAAACCAAAGGCAATAACCGCTAGACAGTACGGCGTGCCGACTGTTTTTAAACGCCTTTCACTGAAAATCCGGCAACACCTTCTTGAACTCTTTTCCAGTGGAGTCTGTGAGAGCTTGAGCTGCTGCTTCGGGAGACCCGAGCAATACTGGCACAATTAGTATATGGATATTGTAATCGAATGAATTCCTACACATCTCGACTTTACCTCGTCATCGATGCTTACATGAGGTTTTGTAGAAAGACAACAAGTGGATCTGGGGCCGATTCGACCAAATTGTGTTTATGGTTCCATTTCGCTCCGTATTTGGCACACGGAAGATGTAGCCGATAAAAGTATAATATTATAATTTAGGAAGCATTTACAATATTCCTGTTTTATGCGGTGGGGTCGTAACTGCTGAAGCGGTTTTCGGCTGAGCTCGGCCTCCAATTTGTGATATGCGTGTGGATGGAGGGACCTTTAGTTTATTCAATACCGCCCGCCAACGGTCAGAGATTTTTAATATGAGCTTTGATTTCATGTCATAAATATACTCGGAGGGCTTGACATTCCCATTTCCATACGAAAAAAAATTAGATGTTGGTCGAGTCAGGACTCGAACCTTGGCCTTTTGAATGGCAGTAAGCAATGCTAACTACTTGGCGCGACGGATAAAAGGAACAATTATTCTCGGGATCACTGTTATACATATTTATACAATATTTTAATTTGTCTTTAAAAGGGTCACATTGTGAAGGGCATATGTTTCGAATATTTTTTGTGTGGAAGTTATTTATTTATTTATTAAGTGTAGCAAAGAAAGCTTTTACTTTAAAAATCAATAAAATCTAATACATTTTATTAAATAGCATAAATCAAATTTCGCTTTACAATTGCTTCACCACAACAAAAATTTGAAATATTGCATTTTTAAAATGTCCTTCCCAATTGGCGCGAGCTTGTTTCATCAGCGTCTGTGGTGTGAGAGCCTGGCATTCAAGTTAAGTGTTGCTGCCGAGCACCACAAGTCATAAATAATAATATTTGCCAATAAATGTTCATGTGTGAACGCACATGCAATCGACAAAATTCGTAACCCACAAAAAGCACACACACACCCTTCGACCCGTCATCCCTCTCAAGCTCTGCTGCGTACGCCGATGTAAATAAAAAAACTGTTGATTTTTCGCTCCCTTTCGCGGCTGTGGTCAGTCAAAAGCTACTTGCATTGCCCAACATTGCCGAGGTCATCTCGAAAGACCATTAAACATTTTTGAGTATCCCCGCAAGGCAGGCTGGGCAAAGGCAGCTGATTTTTTTTTATTACGCTTAACGCGCAACTGTGACGAATTTTTTGTGTTTAAAATTGATTGATGTTGAAATCACCTAACAGCGGCGCACAATTATTATTTATAACATAATTTTAGGCGTTTTAAATTTTTCTTCATACATACATACATACATACATATTGTACATACAAACCAACGAGGAGAACATGGGGGCATTAAAGCTTTGAATTGAATCAACAAAAATCACTGTTCCGTCGCAATTTCCGTTATATAAACAGCATCAAATTAGCAAGCTATTTGTATCCGAAAATTCTATTGTTCCGATTTTACTATCGTTCCCCCTCCTCTAACCGACAGTGTCGGAAAATTGCTGAAATGCCAGTTTAACGTAAAAATGATGCCAAATAAGATTAGATAGCATTTTGTAAAACTCCGCCATTCAGTGTTGTGCTAATGTTGAGCAGTAGACTACTCAAAAGAAAAATAAATAAATAAAAATAAAATAAAATAAAAAAAGAAAAGCAGCTCGCGAAAGAAGAACTTGAAAAGCTGTTTTCACCCTTTTAAAGTACACTTAAAAATGCACAGTGGGACAAAAAAAGAGGTGATTTAATATATTTTTCCGATTTTAAAATATTAAAATTTTCCCAACGAAAAATACTTATTTAATTTTTGAAAGTGTGATGGGAGTGTGGTTCTGCTTCTGGGTCTGCAGTTTCAGTACCACGACTCTGCACAACTCCTTGATTCCTTTCCTCTCTCACAACCTTGATATGCGAGTAACCTTTGTGCGATATGCGATATTCAATCCGTGTGGAGTATTTGGTCACGCCTAAATGGAGGGGTTTTCTAGTAAACGGTCAATCGAAACAAAGGTGCTGGACTTGGGACCCGCCACGTAGAAATCAGCACCAAGGAAAATGGAAGTAATAATTTTCATCCGATGACTCGGCGATTGTGCTACGACACATAACACAGACAGTGGTACGCAGAGCTATACGAGGTATACGGTGATATTGACCTAGTTCACTAGGCGGCGCAGAATCGGGCGCGTCATCTGTATGGAAACCACATTTGAACTTTGAAAGTTTTCGAACCGCAGTAGCCGCCGCATAAGCTGCATCTACGCTAGTCAAGAAGAGCAGAACGCAACATCCTATAAATATATCGATTTAAAGTGGGGTTTGAAAAGCAATAATAGCTAGAGAAGCTTTGGCGGTTTGTGTTGCTTTTTTAATTATAGGAGACCGTTGTCGTCGAGTGACTCGGTGTTCGTGCTATTATTAGCAAGACGAACACCAAGGAATGACAAAAACAACAATGCCAACATCCTAAAATTACCCTTGTGGAGACGAATTCAAGCTGCATTTCCCTCTGTCTATTGGAAAATACTTGTAGATAGAAATCTCCTAGGCTCCTGACCGAAAATCGCTTCTGCGATTATGAAAAGCATATTTATATATACATACATACATATGTACATATATGCATATTTTCGAACTTCTTCGCTTTTACATCTAATAATATTCTACACAGTATCGATACACTGTACTCCCTCGGATGTTAGGCCACTTATCGGTGGTTATTTGCTAGCAGATTATATAATGCGTACATCTCGAAGGCCTTCGCATACTTGGACTTCACACGAGTATCTATCGAAATGACATTTTATCTGTTGTAGTTTGTTTATCTAAATGCGAAATGTGTATGCCAACCTTAAAGCCAATAAAACGATTCCACCCACTAATACCGCCCAAAGGCGTTTCGGCAACTCGGTGTGAAATTTTCAAAATGTTTTTGTTTCTTTTCTTTTTTTTTTTCAAAATAATGCCCGTCGCTGACAGCTTGTGTCTTGACTTTCATTGTCGCTCGCTTATTATTGCTGAGAGAACTTGCAGTGTAAATGGCAACAAACACGGAGTGATGATGATACAAGATAATAGCACATCATCAGTGCCCATGGCGAGTGGTGCGGTTGCCCTAAGGCTTCGTTGTTTACAGCTTGTTGAATTGAGATTTGCCACAAAAGGACAATGTTTTGTTTTCTGATTTCTTTTCGCCCCCACCTTCGCGGCCAGAGATATTTTAAAATTTCATACAACACTTAAAGGCGTTCATAGGCTGGTGTTGCTGCGGCTTCAAGCTGAGTCAATGCAGTAAGATTAAGTGGTATAGTTGGTGGTGGGCAGCTGAGCAGAATAACAGTTCACCATCATGATAACATAATATTGTTTAATTTGCATGATTTTTATGTGCAAAGTTTCTGTGTAAGTTTGAAAGACGAAGGGGTGAAAAGGGAATTTTACTTTTTCTCGCTGAGAGGATGACGATTTTAAAGCATTAAAGTAATGTATTTCATTTAAAACGCGAAACGTATTGAAAATCCTGCTAGGTTTTTTCTTTTGTATATAAAACCCTTAAAATAACACAAATTCGTTTATTGCGCCTAAAAGCGGGCAATAAGAACTGATTAAAGGCATCGCACATGCAGCACTTTTAAAAATCGTTTATATGGCTATAATTTGTTTTTCATTTACATTTGCACTGCATAAAGTCCTTTTTCCATTTAGCCGCACCTTCAACCTGTTATCCTGCCAACAACAACATGTTTACCTCCTCGCTCAGCTGTAGAGCTCGCACTTTGCGTTCGTGTTTTTTTATGCCAGTGCAAGTTTTTCTTACTTTCACTTTTTAATGGTTTTGTGCGTTTTACGTTTTTCTCGTTTTGCTCGTTTTGCTCGTTTTTCGTCGTTGTCGGCAGCTCTAATCTTTGCGCCATTTATTCACACTTGATTAACACGCGACTGACATTTGTTTGACTTTTTTGTTTGCCGCTGCATCTCTAAAGCTGGAAAAAATGTCTCGCCTCTGGAGTAGTGGCTCGCACAGAGTTTGCCCATCTGGCTGCCATCGGCGGAGTGTGCAAAAGGGCGCAAAAGGCCAAAATTAAAAATTAAAAATAAGAAGTGGTGGAAAAAGTTGTCAAAGGACAGCATTTCATGTGCACTTCCGCATGCCTAGCTATTGGCGCACGCACCCCGGGGTGGGGAAGAGAAAATTCTTGCAAAAAATTAAAACTCGCTTCTCGCTTCTAGGTTGGTTGGTTGGCTGCTTGGTTGCTTGCTTGATTTGCTGTGGTGGGCGATTCCGCTGCAGGCCAAACTGATTAATAAACCAAACGTCAAATGGCATAACAATGCCACGCATACTCTCACACACACACACACACATACAAGTACAAA